TGAAAGTTCAACGAAATAATTTATCAAGAGTGAATTTTGTAGACAAAGGTGGAGTGGTATGGGATAATCGAGCAACCAGTTCGATTCTCTTGGTGTATCTGATGTAATGGTTTGCAGTGAGACTGTGGGTAATCGAGAGGTCAGTGACACCACCGGTCTAGGAAGTGTCATTGAGGTTTCTTCAATCAATTCCATCTAATCATATAGCTTGAGATTTTTTTTCTCATTTCAATTCCTCGAGGTAAATCCAAAGAGCGAGAACAGAGTTTGAATAATTTTGATTGAACACCGTACATAATGGATAAATAATTATTCCTCTTGGTCAGTAATCTGCACATGACACATGCTTCAATTCCCCCAGATCTGTACATTTGTATGCTTATGTGTAGAACTTGCAGTAAACACGTGATTTCGTGTGATCACCACCGGGTGCGGGCGTTAACAAGCTTCCAGTTTCATTGAAGCGTTAAATTTCTCCTGCGGTGGTGGTTAATTAGTACGCATGTGTTGTCGGTATGATTTTAATTGAATGTACTAACTGATAAGTGAATTTTTTCAATTTAAAAATTGCCTGTTTATTCCGGGGATAATAAATAAATGAATGGACTAGATGAAAATTTAAGACTAAAAATTCATTTGAATTTGCACTTTGGCGTGTAGCTCGCGCTAGGAACACAATGTCGTACAAGAGATGTACAAAAAAGTCTGAGAGATTCTATAGTCCAGGTCTTATAGCCGGTGGTGTTTAGGAGAGGGCAGCAATGGGTCTCCAAGAGAACGATAATAAACGAGCTTTTACGATCACAAATGGTTCGCACAGACGAGCCCTTTGTTTTTTCCCTTACCCTTTGGATATTACTATCTCATATCTCAACGAAATTTCATCGTCTAGCTTTTCACATCGTACCTATCACTGCCACAATCCTCTCACCTCTTCTGGGATCTCTTGTATTTCTATCTATTCTCATTTTCATTGAAATCGAATATTTCGCTGGTCGAGTGGTCTCATACGTCCACCACACGTCCACTCCAATAATCGATTTTCCTTTTTATTTTCAAGTGAACACGCCAGAATGTGTACGTTTATTAAAAGAATTTATTTATTAAAATCCCAGCAACCGATTGACCAAAGTGGAGACAGGTATTTCAGTTATGGAACTCGCGATAAAATAGTATATGAAAATTAAGTGAAAAATCCACGAAACACTGTCGCTATACTCCACGCATTCCCGATATTTTCAGTGCAAAAAAAAAATGAGGGCACGGAGATTCAAGTAATTCGTTTTAAATTCGATACATCTTAAACAATTATTCATGAGATATTCCCCAATTGGACAGTCCGCCCAACTGATCCGCATGAGTTTTCGTATCAGGTTATTCCCCGTGAATTCAAGCTATACCCATTTCCCAAATGAAATAACTTCAATTATCTTCCAACGTGAAATGTGTTCAAGCTAAAATAAGAGGATAAAAATAATCCCCGAGTTGCTTGGAGAGAGTAACGAGAAATAAGACGTCAGATAATACCGTGAACGAAGAAGGCACTCCGGAAGAGTAAACACAATGGCATTGGAAAATCACTAGGTGCATTTCTCCGATCGTTGTCATGGATATGTACCTCAAGCTCACCAATGACTCAAGAAGATCTCGCACCCCCTATTCCCTGCCACTTTTTTTTCACTCTCCACTTTTCTCAACATCTCTCAACAATTTACTCTCAAAGACAGAGGCTTAAGCCCTGCCTTCACATTTTTTCCACCCCTTTAATATCATTCAATCTAGTATATTCCATTTCCATCTCAATATTACAAAAAAATTATATTAAATCTAGCCCCGATTTCAATCGAATGTAAATCTCTTCTCATTTCAAAGCAGTAGCTATCTCACTAGGATCACTTGGAGTTAATCATTTTTTTTTTGGTGAATCGACTAGAATCAGTATTTTTTTTTTTTGCGAATGAGACCTCTAATAACATTCTATAAAAGGGAATGGAGCTGCGAGGAGATGTAAAAGTGTGAGAATGTAAAATGTAGAGTTGGTCGTGACGATAACGCCTGGGGGGTATTAAAACTAAAGTAATTAGAGAGTTGGCAGTGTAGAGGCTTTCCAAGGGTTTGTACCGGTGCCTAATCGTCATACCGTCAGTGCTCATCTCTCCTCGGTACTGGGGACATTGGTAAGCCGATGATATTCTACTCGGGATTATCACAAATTTTCAGTCACAACGTGGGGATTTTTCACGTACTTTACCGGGAGTTGTGCCACTCGTTGGCCACTGGGTGACAATCTTCGGATATTTTTTGTATTATTTTTTTTTTCTTTCTACTCTCAGCTCTCTCTTATCGCCTAGAAAAGCACTTGTGACCTCTTGAAAGTGGCCACACGATTCCCGAGTGGACGCGTGCGATGCTGAAGAGCATTTCATGATTTACCGGGAAAGATATCAGTGTTAAACCTCCGTGCATTGTCAAGTACACGACGACTTGACACGGAGACGAGAGAATAAGAGGGATAAAGTATATGAGAGAGAGAGAGTACTTCACCCGAGAATATTTTATACGACACAAAAAAAAATCATTTACCCGTTTTATAAATAGTTAAAGCTCTTTTCATACTGTAAAAAATTAATTGATTTGCATTATCGATTTGTTTGGAATGAGAAGAAATTTGTCGATGTGACCAAATTGCATTTTTGGAGTACTTGAAATTTTAAAGACCACGAAATTATCCATCTGCAGTTGCCGTTACTATTATCATTATTATACGAGAGGACATTATTCTTGAAAAGACCATCCTCCCTTTCATTGAATGTCATGAGTGTGAACGACTCGTTGAAATGTTTATACTGAAGATGAATATATGAAAGGTTGAAATGGAATTTACCACAAGCGTCGTTGAATGAATTCATCTCATTCGAATAACTTCCCTCCCTTCCCTGCTCAAAAGATATAAAATGAAAAACAGTGGTGTCACGATTGTAAAATAGGTCAAGTAGTGCAGATTGCCAAAAGAAAAAAAAATGGCGTAATGGTGAATCACAATGTGACCACCACTAGAAACCAATTTCCATTTATAACTGTCTTCACAGGATTTCAATCAGAAAGAAATAAAGAAAAAAAATATTATTCGACCGTAAATTCTTCATTCTCTATTATTATTTTCCTTTTATTCATTTTTATTCTCCTCCCTTCCTCTTATCATTTCCAACGGAAATTGATAGGAAAAGACGCGGGAGCCAGAATGAATATTGAATTCGGTTGGAAGACTCGGGGTACGGAAAATGGTGATGGAAGGGGATGGGGTTATACCGTAGGGCACGGCAATTTCCAGAACTATATAGAATTTCAATAAACGCGCAAGACGACTACCCCAAAGACGAATTGAAGATGACATACGTTGCCGTCAGCAACAAGACACCGTCAGACTTCAAGTTATCAGAGCTATCCCACCAAAAAAAAAAATTATATGAACAAATAGATTAGACCGAGGTCTCCAGACATTGAGAAAATATTTCCAGGACTAATGAATGATAGTTGATGAAATAAATCGACCAAGAGTGGATATGGGATGAAAGAGGCCAAGGGTTTCCCTTCAGCCATCGAGTGTCTGACAGAGAAAAAAGAAAAAAGACTAGAATGAGGGAAATTGACGGTTCGATAATCGAAGACGAGGTCTCAGTGGGCCAGTCGACTGACTCTAGTACGTAATTAAATTCCTAGCACGCTCAGCGTCTCTCGTCTTCGAAAAGGAGAGCCTCATCTTCGCTACTAACACCCCCTTATATACGAATAGCAGAGTTGCGCTCGTGTCCAACATTTTTACCGATTTAATGCACTGAGAGGAGGCACTGAGAGCGTCAAAGGATATTAATATCTTCCTACAAAGAAGACCGAGTGGGAAAAACAAGTGATGAGAGAATTTTATCGCTAAAATCCAACACAACTCAATTCAATCTAGTGCAGAAGCATCTTCCGGTATAACACCGAGAAAATTGTTCTAGAAATCTTCTCGGACACTATTCCCCTGGACAATCTTCTAAAAGAAAACTCTCTACAAAAACCAATCCAAAACGAAAAGTAAAAATAGCCAGAAAACCATTTCCCCTTGATAAATTATTCCGTAAGATTCCAACGCAGAAAAATTACGCAATTAAAGCCAGTGTAATGAGTTCTGTTGTTATCATACCCGATGAGCCCTTACAATCCTAGAAATCCAATGTAAGTATTCGCTAACGAAGCAGACCCTAGTGTACCACGCGTTCTCAGTGCGAGTAATCGAAAATAGGAGGAGAAAATTGAGGGAAAAACTGAGGAGAAAGGTTGATTAATGGACTTCTTGCTGGTTAAACGTCTAGGTGAGGAATTCACCCAAGAGCAAGCAAGACGAGACTACCGGAATGAGAGAGAAAAAAAGGAGGAATGAACAAAAGGGTGGGCTTGGAAAAGAGTAAAAGAATAAAAAAAAAGATTAAAAAAAAAATGTAGCAACGCTACAACAGCGGAGATGCTCGCGAATACGGTCGATTAATTGCGGCCGAGTGTACTCTTATATATCCCCCTTTTACAGCCTCTCTGCATCCCTTCTTTTGCCCTCGACAAGGCGGTTATTGCGTGGCTTGTTGCTTAAACGATCCTGGATAAATCCTCGGTGAAAAATATCCAGTCTCCCCCTATTTTACTGGTTTTTTTTTTATTTCTATTTTTTACGATCATTACCGGTTTTCCTATCTCAATTTTCATTTGATTTCCATTCAAATCCCACAAACGAAACACCATCCCGTCATTAAAATAACTTTTTTAATAGTTTAAAAATAGCCCGCCCCTCGACTCTTCCCCAATCGCGATAACGAACATTGGTTTGTAAAATAAATAAGTTTGAATGTGGATAATAAAATAATTCACCCTCTTGTTTGTATCTACGACCGTAAATATACTAATAAATTCTAACGAAAAAAAAGCCTTTCAATAAATTAACCCAGATTGGCCTTTATTTGTTTCAGGAACGCGGCAGCTACCACCAAATCACCGGTAAAATCACTGTTCCACACTGATGATAAGAGAACAAATAGAATAAACCGAGGAAGATCTGGCAGTTCATCGATTCTAATTGACAGGTCACGAAATGGTGGTGGGGTGATAGAAAGAAAAATAACGTGGAGAGAGTGGTGTGAGGCGTTTAAATTTACGATTGCACCAGCATTAAGTACCAAGGGAAATGCCCAAGAGTCATGGATGTTCTCGAGACACGGTAGAGCACTACCAGCCCCCCTCGTACACCATAAAGGATTGCCTTGTATTATCTCCCGATACCGTGTGATACTGTGATTACCCGAGTCACTAGTCCCGTCTCAACTAACATATCAATAAACAACACCGATTACCTTTCTAAATTCCTTTCTCCTAGTTAAACCCTCAATTTTTCAACTCAATCCCATCCCCCACTTCAAAAATATTGATGAACATCAACCTGACGTGAAGATTTACGATAATGTAGACACGAGGAATAATAATAGCGATATAAAAAAAGAAAATAGCGAGGAGCTAAGCTCATACTGTAAATAGTACTCACCGACCAGATGGGTTGAGAGGCAGCTGGAGACGTACTTATTCGTTGAAGATCTACAAAAAATGGCGCTTCTGACACGAGCACAGCTATTTGAAGGTCTTGATACAGCATCCCTCGAGGTTGAAAATTGCTGGAACAAATACAAATATAGTAATGAGTATTCAATTGATAAATCAGAGAGAGTTAATAAAGACGAGTGCAATTAATAGTTCAACTATTTTTCTATTTTCGTAATTGACGAGTGATTAGTGACAAATTTTTCATGGCATTATTTTCACACTTGAACTGTTGAATGACTATTTGCCTGTTTATTTATTTTATTGGAGACGAAAAAAAAAAGTGGAAACGAGAGAAGAGGAGAAAAGGGAGAAAAGGGAGAAGAGGGGAAATGGATCTGGATGGCGAGGTTGGATCGTCCACGAGCGATCCAAGAGGTCCATGTTACGCCTCGTTGGAGTCATTGATGCCCCAGTGCACCAACACCAGTGAAAATCAGTGAGGCGAACTGGGTTGGTACCTGACAGACTTACGACAAGAGGAATCAGAGTCAAGGGGGAAAGCGAGTTGGAAACGACGAATCTTTTGCACGAGTAAATTGTACACTGCCGGAAGTCAATTTGACGGTGGACTGGGGGGACAGAGATAGTGGAGTTGAAACGAGTCAGGATGAAGATTTCCGGGGTAGAGGCTAGTGTACCTCTTCTAGGTGCTGTTGCACCGCGTTGTGTCGTCAAACAGGCAACCGTCAAGCGTTGCGTTGCTGCACTCCTCCTCATCTCGGTTGCCAGTATTTTTTATTACACACACTACGTCATCAGCAGCCCATTATCCAGGTAAATTCACCTCAATTGTCACACATAGAGTATTAAATTATGAAAGAAATTTCAGGTGGTGCACTTTTTTTTTCACTCCAGCATTTCTTCCAATGTTTTAATTAAATATTTGTGAAATTCAGCTGTGATTTTCCGGTGAATTGTTCGAATCACGACACTTGACAAATTCGATGGATGATTGGGAGTGGGACAAGTAATCAGCACTCAGTACGAGTACTGAATTATTGCGCTAATTGAATCGCCCGTCAGTCTTCACCAATCACTGGTACAAAATGGCAAACGTCTTGAACGGTCTGCCAGAAATAAACGTTCCCGAAAATTACCCAAACGTTTGTTCCACAATATTTTGATGTAAACACTTGGTATCCGCGTGTGCCCCAAATGACGAGTTTATTTGATTTACGTGACCGGTTGATATCGTGACGCGTTATGTTGTCCCTTGGAAAATTTAACCACTAGAAGGCGTGCAAACTTTGTTGCCCTGTACACATTCAAATGTTATATCAAACTGCCATCAGCTGAAGAAATACTCTTTACCATGAACCTCTTCCACGCAATCACGTGATTTTCCCATCGATCAGTCGAGCAAAAATTTTATTTCCCTATCAGTCTTATCGATAAAAAAATGAATAAACACCTAGACGTCTGAAATCACGTGCTATTGAGACATCTGGTACCTTCGACAAGATAAAAATAATTCATTCCCACGAGAATTGCTGATTTATTAGCAACAAGTGGAGGTATGACTGATAAAGACAACTATGCGGTGCCACAAAAGCTTGATCTCTCTAGTTAACACTACATTAGAATTGTAGTTTATGTAGAGAATAAGGTTTCGTCTGCTTCTCATTTCTCTCCCACATAGAAATTAACCTGGACCTCGCAAATGCATGGTAAATCATCCAGTGGAAGCAGTTGGGCTTCTCGACGTGGAAATCCTCGCAAGTTCATATTAAAAGGTTGAGTTAACAAACTCGAGAATTGAGGTAAACGGATTATTGAGGCTAACGAGCTAGCCATCGAACTAGAAGACCAACTGGCAGTTGGTGATTTACCCCTTATCAATTTTTTTCATTCACATTTATTTGCAAAGGGGGAAAATATTAAATGGCACCCCTCGGGGACATGCGGCTTCACGATGAGAAATATGAATTTTCTTTGAAAATACACCCCAATGTTATGCTTTCACCGGGGGATAAACCCCTTGGTGGTGAGAATTTCACCATGTGTCGAATTATGTCAATGCAGTGATTATTATTCAAAAGTTAACACATTAACTCAGTTACGAAGTGGTAAAGTGAGTTAAGTCGAATATTTGAGTTTTAAAATAAAAATAATGACAGAAAAATATCCCACGGAATAACTGACGTGATGAAGTCGTAATTAACTTGAGCAGGGGCAATGAAATAATCACCGAGAGATAACAATAAAGACGTTAATATGAAATATCCCGAGATAGGTAGGAAAATAGTTGGCAAACTGAGGGAATAGTCATCCCCATAGCGCTCATGTGGTACCCACTCTGAATCAGGATATATGACTGGTGTGTATTTCCGGAATGAAACGACCCGGTCCAATTGGAATTCTCAAGAAGCTCCTTGATGCACTCCCCAATCTTGGGCCTCGTTATCTCCCCCAGGACTACTACCAACCATCTACGTACCCCGAAAGGGTCTTCCAAACGAAGTAGAAGAAGTGGTAGGAGGTACAGTGCAAAGGGGATGGCACATCTAGAGTATTACTTCCAAAGATCCAGTCGAGGAGTTTGGCGAGTTCATGCTTAATTAGAGAAGACATATAACCCAGAGATCCGTAGATGAGCTCCACCTTGATGACCCAGTGTGCATTAATCTTGGGACGAGAATAAATCAAGAGAGGCGTGGAAACTTCCCCCCCCCCCCGTCATTAATTATTTTATAGCTTCAATTGCAAACATATTTTTCTGGAATACTGAGTCCTAGTGATTTTCTACCGATACGCGATCTTCAAAATTCGTCTAAATTTTCCTGCATGAGTTATCGCAGCGGTATCATTCGTTAAAAAACCGTGTTTTGCTGACGTATCGCTTGAACTGAAACATTTGCATAGTAAACACGAATTGCGCTATTACCAATCCGTGGGACATGAAATGTCACCGGATGTTTATTGCGCGCTCAATCACCGCCAATTCAAAGTCTTGTGCGCGATGCAAATAATGATCAACTAAACTCTATGGAGTATATCCCAGCTGAATGGCTTTCAGCAACAAACAGGGAGAAATATCTGATTACAATCACCAGTGATTGCTTAATTTCCCGTGAAAACAATTTCCAAAATGCCCCTTTAAAAAAAATCTGTACAACATTGAGTGTCACCGATAATTTTAACTGAGAGTTTAAAAAGTCATGAAATTTGTAAGCTTTTGGAAAATTCGATGAAAATTTGATGGGAACTTCGCAGGTCTCTTGAATTTTCAATGAAGACATGAATATTCAGTAAATTCATGGATATTCATGGATTTCCCGGACTTTTCCGGATGTCCATCAATTTTCATCGAATAATTGAACAGTAATTTCCCATAGCCATCGTTTTTTCTCAAAAATCGAATTTTAGATGACAAAACTTATTAAAATTTCATTGCATTTATAATACGACGAAATTATTGATAAAAGGCCCGGGGATTTTTCACAAAGATATTCATTGACATAAATTTTCAATTAAAAAACGCCGATAATTGCTGGACTTATTCAATTCACCTTCCGCTCTTCATTCGAAAATTACTCCCTTTCCACCACAAACCGGACGATATCCCGGGTATATCCCCGGGGATGATTAAAAAATTGAAAGCCCTTGATCACTCATAGGTAGAAATTCAATAATCCGTATGCTCAATCGAATAAACCGTTCTAATTGAATCGAATGGTCTGAAAGGTTGCCGTCATCCGCTTTTCATCTTCCACTAGCATCCCTCCGAAGAAGGCAACTCACTCCAATCAGTGCTTTAAATATCTCCCGAAGCAACCATATTCCCACTCCTTTGAAGCCCTCAATCTCACTTGTCTCGCGGATAAATGTAATTAAACGACATAAAAACCATCGCAAAGAGGAATTAATTTAAAATTGACGCCATTAAAAATCTAAACGCTTTCAACGACAACTGAACAATTCATTAACTCGATATTTTTCTGAATAAAAGAGAAACTATATATCAGCACTAAAAATATTTTCATATGAAAATATCAGAATAGCTTTATAATTAGCCACCGATTTACCAATCTTCCCCGTTGATCATCCTCGCAAATAACAACAGTTGAAACAAACGTGGGAAGAGCTAATGTGTCCGTAAAAGGAACTCACGACAATAAAATAGTTACGTGTTGTACATGGTAAATGGATTGAACGGTGAGCAACAGAAATGCTAGTGGCTTCAGTGGATTCATGCAATGTCCAGTCATGTGCATGGATTCGTATTAGTTCATGGATGTGGATGTTTGCGGACGGATGACGAGCTACGGTGCGTTCCTAATCACGCTTCTAATCACACTCAGGCACGAAATTAACCCTCCGTGTGTTCACTATTCAAAGGATTCGAGGTCCAGGACCCAAACATACTCTTAATTAGCCTGAGCCATCAAAATTACACAGTGCAAATACCAAAATCCATTGATCTCCACGCCAACTAATCGATTTATATTCAAATACCGAAGAAACTTCAAGTTAAAATATTATTTATTTGATATATTTATGCCTGTAGGTCTGGTCGCTTCCCTAACCGTTCACCCTTCCACTTTTTTCTTCTATAATAGTCACTACTGCTACATCGATATTGATATTCAAAACCCGTTGCGATAGACGAACCGAATGTGCCTTGGATGAGAAATACACAGGCAATAGCCAGAGGCATCACGAAACGATTTCACTCTATTGATTAGAATTCCAATTATTGGTCTAGACCAGATTTTTGTCAATTCTTTCTTCTCCGTTCTTTTCTACACAACCTTCCACATTGTACCGATTCTTTTCATCGACCCTGAATAGCTCTTATCATCCAGTGTAGCACTTTGATGACGCAAGAAGATATAACGACCTCTCCTAGCTCTTCAATAGATAATTTTCCTCTCTGCCTATTTCTATAATTACATCTTGAATCGTACCGAGAAAAATCCTTGAAACCATCTGAAAAACCACACAAGCATGACGCAATTGCCCGATGCTCTGCCCGATCTTAAGATCAAAGGTCTAAGATACGTTCCAGTAACTCGTACCATTGAGATAATTCCACGTAATTAATGCATATCTATCATTTCCCTAATCGATCCTATTTTTCCACAATTTTTTCCCTGTGACAAAAAAAAAATTTGACACTTGCAATAATAACCGCGTGTTTTCAAAAAATATATCACAGATATTTTTCTCAGTTTCACCCTAGCATTCTTTTTACTCCAACTTCACTTTCATCCTCCCCCCGACGACATCAGCTCCCGGATACATCCTCTTGATGAAAAGGGATTTCGTTTTGGTGGCTGAGTATACGAGTAGAGGCGCCGAGCAAAAAGCCGCTAGCCAATTTAGCCCAGAGGGCAAAGGGGTTCGGGTGTATAGTAGTTGGCCAAAGGATCCCACCACCAACGACTCATCGCAGTAAAGAACGAAAACCCCGAGGAATTTGCCACAGAGAGACCAAGATAAAAAAAAAAAAATGAGTCCAGAAATCTTTAATAACGTCCGGTGAAATGAAATTGTCGTGCCATTGACAAGTCCAATGTATTCACAAAGAAATTTCCAGCCAAATGAAATGCATATCCTGGTATAAAGTTTGTGTTGGAGAATTTATGAAATATTAAAGGGTACAGAGCAATCCAACACGCAACACTTCCGTGTTCACGTCATAACATATCCAAGGACAAGAATTTCGCTTTGTACTCGCCGCGGTGTTCGCGATTGTTCGATGATAATCGTAATACAATACAACACCCCAAGAGAAATGGATCTGATATGCATTGCCAGGCCCCTCCCTCTTTATCACTCCATTATTTTTTATTCAACTCGATTTTGCCCCGTCGTTGCAACACAATATATGTCGCCATTACACGAAGATGCGTGTTACCCACGACAATATTTGAAGTTGGGGGAATGTGCATGAGTCAACTTGACTCATCGTTTATATTTTGCTGCTTTCCAAAAGTAACTGCACGTGTAACAACTTTATCACTCTATTTTTCCAAAGATAAATCCAGAATTATCTCGAGGGCAGAAAAGAAAATTTAATCTCCAAATGCTTTAATTGAAGAGAATCCGACAAATTCAAAATGTGTTTTTGAATGTTCCCTGAGTAAACGTCTGAGCAGACAGGGATTTGAGTTAACGTGTGTCGACGTATATAAACGGAAATCCCTCGTCAACGTGTCTTCATGATATGAGACACATTTTCCGACTAGCCATTCGTCCCACACACGATATTCTCCCCGATAGCAATATTAAAATCCACGAAAAAGCTCAGTAAACATTAAACCCTTTGAAATACCATACATTTTTTTAATACCTTTGACACAGAGCAGAACGAGAAAACATAGATTCGACTCGGAGATTAGAATACAAAACCCCCTCGTACTGATGATGAAAAGCAGCAACGAAATTAAAAAGTTCACTTTGTTCTCATCTCGTATTTACCCAGACTCGTTGAAATAATTTTCATATAATGTTCCTCTGGCCAGTGTTAAAATAAAATTTCTACTTAAAACCCACCGAAAATTACCGAATACGAGATAAATTTCACATGAATTTCAAATAATTCAAGATTGAAACCCAGACAATTGTCGAGAAATAATCATCGATATTAATGAATGACGTGGATATAAAGAACTCGAGTTATCGAGGTGTTCCAATAACTGATGAGCCGAAGGATCGCGTCTTCCAAATAAATCGAGAATAGGAGTTATGGGTATCGATTTCTCAAGGATCGAGAGAAAGAGAGAGAGAGTACCGGAGGTTTTCCTCAGGTTGTATGCCAGATCATTTTTATCGCTCAACTCTCTTACATCAGTGCTTCACTCATTCGTTCAATATATCGATTAGCCGGTTCGTCGGCCCATCCTAGACACAGTGAGGGGTGACGATAAAACTCGCTTATATCCCCCCATGTACATCCATCAATTTTTAACCACCCCTTACACACCCCCGTCAACCGCATCATGCTTAATCATTGTCTCGAGTGGTACATAGTCCAGAGGGTACTACCATAGAAGAGAGTGTAAAAAAGAGTGTAAAAGAAGGTGAAGAAAGAAAAAGAATAGAAAAAAAAAGAATAAGAAAGAAAGGGCCTCGAGTGAGGGGTAAAAATGGAGGTGGATTCTCAATTCTCATTGGGCCCTCTTCGCTATACCTTCTCAACTATCGATAAATCGTCTTTCAAGACTTGGTAATATATCTATGGTGTACTGGTTTGTGTGCTTGCAGCCTCATTCACCGTGACACCAGACCAGAGCCATCGATAAGGTGTTCAACCCTGAGGGGAGCAACCAGACTGCCAGCAGCACCGGATCATCGGAGCGAAGCCAGACTCAGAATCGATCCCAAAGTTTTGGTTTTCGTTGAGACACTTTATTCAAGAGTTGGACGAGAAATAGCTGAACTACTTGTTTATAACAGAATCAAGTATGTATTCGCTTTAAACATCAGCATATTCAACAATTCTATCCTCATTTTATCCCATTATTTACGTTTTCATTCGTTTACGAATGTTCAAACGAGTCAAATGTTTTCTCTGTTCTTTTTTTTTTATATCGCTGACGGCGATGGTTGTGAGGGATCACGGGGGTTCGATTCTCCCCCGCGGGCCAAACGTTTTTTTAACGTCGATTTTCATCGATAAATATTTTGGGTCAAAACATTTTCACGTAATCTTCACTGTTTAAAAAAATACAGATTTTCCGATATGAGTGTGAATTTAATTTGAAATTCAAAATTTAATAACTTTATCTCTTTAATTTTCAATGCGCTATAAACAAAGGGTAGCAATCTCAATTACTCGTTGCTCAAGATGAAAGAAAATGGTGACAGATAGACGAGTAATCACGAACGAAGGGAATAGCGCGTGGAAGCGAAATTAAATTGCCTGACAAAAGTCGATCGCATTTTCATCTCCTCTTCGACAAGGAGATCGGAATAAAAGAGCCATCGAGAGAGCCGAGTGGTTGAAAGAGGAGATGGCAAGGGAGATGAAGAGAAAAGTGGGGAAAATCGACCCGGAAACGTCAGAGGCGTTCATTAAGATAATCACAGGTGTCTGAATAAATAGTCAAACTCAAAAATCCACATTTCTCCCAGTAACCTGCATTACTCATCAATTCAGAAGAAATTAATCACCACTTCCATAATTACTGACTCAATTTGATTGATTAAATCAATTTCGATAATGATTCTTCGGGTATTTGGAATAACTTCCGACTACTTTCGAGATAATTAATTGAATATTCCTTTCTATTTGAAAACAATAAATTTCGATTTTTCCCAGTGACCCGATTGACCTCTTGTATTTCCCACCCGTGGGATTAAAATTGATTATTCCTCCGAATAATTATACGGATTTATTAAATCCAGCGCATGCACTCGATAGATGTATTCATTATCTTCATTGAATTTTCGATAACACAGAATCAACGCGACACAGAATGAGAGCAATCACCCACACTCGCCCATGATAATCAATTTTCAATAATAATTACTCCTCCTCACTCAATTATCTACGTGTCACGTCCTAGCGGTGAGAAAATGAGGGTAAAAAGGGCCATCGCGGTGGTAGAGATTTTCCACGATATTGGAGCTATTGTTAGTGCTCGTTTATGGGGTTCCACAGGATTTTCCCTTCACCAGGAGTACCAGTCGAATAGTGAAGAATTGGCAGAGGAAAAAATGAATAAAATGAGAGGAAAAAAAAAAAGGGGTAACGAAAGAAAGGGGGTGATAAAAAAAGAAACGAATGAATAAGAATGGAGGGCGCATCCCTCAATAGAGGCAAAGAAATAAATTTACCAGCGGACGTGGAAAAGTGGTCTCTCCAAATGAGCATTTGTTCAACTGTCCACTTATATTTTATTTTCTCCTGTTTAAACGCTGCAATTAAGTTATCCCCATAGAAAAACTCAGAGACTTCATTCAGTGCTGTGATATCACATGACCAACTTCATTAAATTAATTTGATGCATTTATCCCAGGTAAAAGTACCAGCACACATTAGTTTTTAAAAAATTCGAATAATTAGTTGAGAAATGTATGCTGTCACTTGATTGTCGTAATGGGTGTCATTACGGGGCACTCAATTTGTCAAAAGTATTTAGGTACGGAGCATTAAAATCATTGTGCAGTGGGAAAGTTGAGGAGCCATTGGATTTCTAGGTCTCCAACTTCCTCAGGGATTCATTGATGACAAAGGACAGAAGGCAACTCTCACTGGAGTTAATCCCTCTGTTCCTCCCTGGTGTGCTTATTGTTTCGTTGAAGAATCCTAGGTTTTCAATTCAACCAGAGTGCAACCCACAAAACTTTCAACGAGTTCACTAGAGTTCAGCATTTAGAGAATCACTCGAGTGCTTGATAGGAATAATCAGGAAGCAATCTCCAGATAAAAGAATCTCAGACAGAAGTTGACAAAGTGGGTGAAGCAAGAATAGACAAGATGAGAGCTCGAAAAAATCCCATGAAGATGTCTAGAATTTCATACATCATCGCGATAGTTGAATCTCATTGTCTTCCGGACATTTTTCCCCTGAAAATATCTGAATCACATCAACTTTTCACGTGTCCCACTGAATCTTTAAAACCTCCCTTCCCACATCCCAGATAGCTCCATTTATAAAGTGAGTGCTAAAGTGAAGAGTGCGACGGCTCAGAATAAAAATGCATCATGTCACGTGCAGGGAATCACCAGAAAAAAAATAAAATAAATAAATAAACAAATAGAGGAATCGAGCAACGTCAAAAAAAGGGGAGAGGGGTAGGGAGGAAGGGCATTGTTAAGAGTTGAAATTGTCAAAGCCACGAGAGCACGAACCCGAATGTGAAAAGGGCCTTTGGATCTCTCGAGTCTCCAGGGGCACACCACAAGGGAGATAAATAAAAAGAAAAAGAATAAAAAGGCCGAAATACCCCAAGCCAATATCACCACGTACCCACTCTACTCTTTTCGGTTAGAGACAACTTCCAATTCCATCTGGAAACTGGTGCGAGTGTTGAAGAGGTAAAGAGCACAGAGCCAAAAGTAGACTCTCTCCTCTTGCCTCCGTTCGACATATCCTCCCCAGAGGTCCTTCTCTCCCGATCAGCTTGAAACAACCTCGTTTTTTTTTTCACCCACTGCAAACGTACAAACGAAATGTTTTCCAATTTCACAAATTGTAGTGCTCATCCTTGCCCCCAATTCGTCCTATTTTTCGCCCCCGGCTATCACTCAATTCTGCAGTGCATTCAAACTAGCTTCAATTACATCGGATATAATCTACAGAGCTTTTTTTTTATCAATTATTCATCTGAACTATTTCACGGAAACTCTATCCAATTTCTACCGAGATAATGACCGGATGTTTTAGCAACAAGAGAATTTGTTGATGGGAAAATCCAACGATTCGGTTGCTGTTGGAGCGAATAAGCTGACAAGCAATACCAGAGTGTCCACGTATATACATCAGCATCAAAGAGAGGACTAATGCTGGTCTCCAGTAGGTAGTAAACCAGGGCAAAGACACAACATGTCCTTCATGAATAATTCTCATCTGAAATTAACAACGGTGATCTACCCCAGAGAGTGTTTTAGCGACATGGCTTGTAACCCAAGCGACATAAACCTCATCGAAATTCGTTCGTAACCTTTCGAATGATATAGCCATCCGGTGAATCCACGTACGAATAATCTTTGACCATCAAAAATTGTCTACAAACGCGAGCTGTTGAATGTGTAAATAATACCCATTGGTCTGCAGGCCACGACCATCCGACAGCCCCTGAATAATGGAACAAAGAATCCATGAAAATGAACTTAATTCAAGATGAATAGAGCCACTACCTACTGCTATATCCACCTAAAAATTATGAGCATCAAATTTCGATTGGGATTGACTTTTTTTTTTCTTTTCTATTTAACAAAATTGCCTTCAACTACTGAAAATGATGACAAGATAAGACGCTGTATCGATCTCATAGTCTCATCGCATCGTACCGAGCGTCATGTAAGAGCAGTCCCGTGGGATATATATACCTCTACGTGACTTGAATTCGAATAATCCTGGGAGAGAAAGAAGTGGGTGAAGTATAGTACCGAGAGACGAATGAAAAAATTTTACACCAAAGGTGTGTCAAGCCCAGGAGCTCTGAGGGGTTGATACTATACATCATGGCTAAATTTATTCTGCCCTGTGCCAGGCACCATCGAAATTCCTAGCTGCATCATTTCTTACAACATCCCATACACATTTGCACAATTAAATTTTATCTGTCCGTGAAATAAAAGTATAGTTTCTGATTAAAAAAATTATTAGTCCCGATTTCTGAGACTTTGTCGAAAAATATATAGCTCCGGGAATGGCTGGCTTATTTGAAGAACTCTCCAGGGAGTGTATGCTTTATACCTTCATTTTTATCATGACAAAACGCCAGTGTGGGAGAGCGATTTGATACCTAAGGATACAATGCCAACGCAGCTGCTCCAAAGGACCTTTTCAAATTATATTCCATATCTTCTACTGGATACACGTATATATAACAGCGAATGGATCTTGCGCGGTGGCACTCGACAAAAGAATACGGTTATCTTTTTCCCTCACTCTGTGATTTTTCTCTTTCATTCTCTCCCCATTCCCCATCATTCAGAAAGCGCGATTATAATTCAACAATTGCGGATTTTTTCAATGTTGAATGCATCAAAAATTTCCTGCCTCCTCCCTCAAAAGGAAAAATGAGAAAAGAAAAAAAAAACAATGCCTCCAGTTATTAAAATAGAATTAAATCAAGCTACTCTGCAGACCGAATAATAAAACCTGCGGGATAGTACACACCCCTGAAAATAAAGTCTAAAAACATATTCAATTGAATTTTCAAAAAAAGTACGAAAAGCAAAATTAAATAAAAAAATAAATCGGGCTTTGCCAGATGTTCACTGTCTACTCAAGCGGCCTATGGGGATTTGATTCGCGAATTCCATTTCCAAAACGCTCTCTCCAAACAGGAGTGAGAGTATGAAAAAAAAAAAAACTAAATAAATGTTAGAGAGGGGGTTGAAAAAATCCTAGAACGAGAATAGTAAGCACACACGAGGGGAGGAGAAAAAAAAAATAGCAAAACAAAAACGTTGAGAGAGGGCGAGTGGTTCGTTGGTTCACGCTGGTGTATTAAAAACCCTCTTGCATCACATGATAGTTCAACGTGAGTGAGAGAGTAAGAGAGAGAGAGAGAGAGAGAGAAAGAGAGTGGTGAGCTGGGATTTTTTTCCCTCGTACCGGACCAATACGGTTTTTGGGGTCGAGTGTGTACAGCTTGAATATACGATGGAAATAATAATGCAGGTGCACCCACCGCACATCAAACGAAGAATGAAATACCGAGTGACATTTTAGAATGGGGTACATCAGGAGGAGGCATGTATGATGCCATATAGAGTACGTACAACGATGGTACTATCAGCGTAAAAAAGGCTTCATTCAGTGGAACCGCAAATAAAACCCGTTTCCGAGTTATCTCCCCGAGGCAATTTTTTTTTCCATCCCCCTCCCCCCGATTATTAATTACTTAATTAATACTGCTCATCGGTTTTTCCACCTGTCCATCAGAATTCCTCATTAATCGTTAATTACACGGTCAATAAATATCCCATTTTTTTCTGGGGATTGAAAATAAATGGGGGAGATTTAAACGAATTCTTCACAATCTGTTGCAGATACAAAGTGGAAGTGACTGGAAAATCATTACCAGTCCTGACGAATCTCGACAAAGGAAGATATGGAGTACTTGTCTTTGAAAACATCAACAAGTATTTGCAGATGGACAAGTGGAATCGAGAATTACTCGACAAATACTGTCGTGAATACTCGGTTGGAATAGTGGGATTTGCTCCACCGGGTGAAGAAAGTCTCGTGGGTGCACAACTCAAGGGTTTCCCATTATTCATTCACACGAATTTAAGACTGAAGGTAAAGAAAATTCTGATGAATCGAGGGGAATTCAATTTGCCCCGAACACCAACGGAACAGTTCAATTTTTCACTATTTTAATTATTCCATTTAGCTCAAGGTCAAAAGGCCACAGTACCATTTTCAAGATTGCTTTTTTTTTCCCCCTTTAAAGTCCATCGTTTTTTAAGACTCGCCCTTTCTCCGATTCACCCGTGCATGCACCGAGATTCGTATTCATGCCCCGTAGTTTTATCCAACCGAAAGTAAGATGACCTTTTTACATCTTCCTTTTATTTCTCTCTTCCTGTTTCCCTTCATTCTGACGCTTCTTGTTTTATTTCTTTTGTTAAAACTTTGCTTTCTTATTTTTTTTAATACCACCCACGGCCTCAATTCTTGTTTCAATCGTTAGGATGCACAGCTGAACGCTGCCTCACCCATCCTGAGGTTGACCAGATCCGGGGAGACAGCCTGGGGCCCTTTGCCTGGAGGCGACTGGACCATTTTTCAACCAAACCACAGCACGTATGAACCACTTGCATGGGCATACCGAGACAGTCTGGACTACACTAGCCAAAAGACACCACTTGCCACTGTCATCCAGGTAAATTTAATTTTCCAAACCGAACTCCCCACAGAGATCCAAAAATTCAGTAAATTATTTCTCCATCTCGTAATATTGTCAAACCAAATTACTCAAGGATAAAACCTCAAAGTAAAATCCTCAAAAGAAGTTGCAATTCTCTTGATACTGGATCAGTCGACAAGAGGAATCAACCTGGCAGTTTATTCACAAAGATAAAGGAATAATTATCGAAAATTTGCCTAGATACTGCTAACGAAATTCCACCATGAAACACTAGAGAGGGGCATTTAAATTTAATTCCATAAGTCTCGTGGAATAATGCAGTTGAAAAGTTCTCCGAGTGAACGAGTAAGGGAAAAAAAAAGAGCATGAACTCGGACTAGAAGAATGAAAGCTGTGAAATTGGGTTGGTGGGTGGTACAGCTGCTCAATTGCCTGGAGATCTGCCTGGAGATCTGCCTTGAGTCCAGGCCCATCGTAGTCATAATGTGAAATAAAAGGAGGGTGAAAAAAAATAACAAGTAAACACCGTTGCCCCTACGCTTCAAGACAAAACCCGTTGATGGTGAAAATAGGAAATGGAAGGGAAACGAAAATCGTGGGGAAGACGAGCCAAGTAATTTCTACAGCTCCCCTGGTCCCTCCGCACTCACACAATCGAGGAGGAATTTTAGTAATGACAAAATTCCCTCGCCCTCGAGGAGATAAATTGCGGGGGAACAATAATGTATTTTTTCACCATAAAAACAGATAAAACCGACATTAAATCCCCAAGAAATAACAACGAGCAATGATTCCACCATTTATTTTTTCACCTGTCGATGAAATTGATGGAAAGTTATCGCGAAAAAAAAAAAAAAACTGGCAAATTTCACAGTAATTCTCACTTGATTGAATTCCCACCAATGATCCATCAATTAACAATATAAAAAAAAAATCCACGCAAAAATGGGGAGTGGGAAAATAACCGTGAATCCTCGGTTAAATTGATAAAGAGTGACAAACACATAGTCATTGATTAATCGAATCAGGGAATGGCTGATTGGCTCGTGATTTAATTACGCAGGACCTGCCAAAACTGTGGATCGCGGTGAATGGTGGGTGTTATTTCACCTGAAACATTTCACAGGTGACCCCCCAAGTAATGAGATTATAAGCGAGATTATTATTGTTGTTTACTGCTAACAAGCCCCTCACGATGAAAAAGGGAAACACTAGGGAGAGAAGAGTTCAAGTTTTTTGTCAGTGGTTACCAGCGTAATTAACGAATCCCATTATTGCATATTATCCGTCTAGCCCGGAGGAATAATTATCTAGGGGATTGATGAAAAAAAAAGGAGAAGAGAGGAAATCCCTCTCTGGATTCATCGGTTGCAATCTCCACTCGATGAATAATCCCATAATTTTTTATGTTCTCGTTATAGGATCATGGGAGATACGATGGAATCCAGAGGGTTCTCTTCGGTGGAGGTTTACGATTTTGGCTGCATAAATTATTACTTCTGGACTCATTATCCTACTTGTCGCACGGTCAGTTGAGTCTGAGTCTCAATCGAATGATTTTGGTTGATGTCGACGATATATTCGTCGGTGAAAAAAGTACAAGACTAAAAAAAGACGATGTACTGGCACTTCTGGCGACCCAGCAGAGAATACAAACACTCGTACCGGGTTTTAAATTCAATTTGGGGTTTTCCGGCAAGTATTTTCATCACGGAACAGCGGAGGAGAATCTGGGGGACGATATGCTACTGGAGAACGTAGACAGGTAAATTTACATACGCCTCAAGAAAACTAAAATTCCCGGGCAATTGAGATTTTAATAATTTCAAGGCTCACGCTATGTGTCTCGTGTTTAATTAAACTCGTGCAAACATATTTTTTATCTCCCCAGATTTACGTGGTTTTCCCATATGTGGAACCATCAGCAGCCCCATCTTTACGAGAATGTAACACACCTACAAGCCGACATGGCACTTAACAAGCTATTTGCTAAAGAACACGGAATTCCCACAGTTAGTGGTTACAGTGTAAGTCCTCATCATTCTGGAGTTTATCCAGTCCACGAGGGCCTGTACGAGGCATGGAAGAGAGTTTGGAACATCAAAGTGACGAGTACAGAGGAATATCCACACCTGAGGCCTGCCAGACTCAGGCGTGGCTTCGTTCATCGTAATATTATGGTAAAATACAATCAACGTTTTTTTTTTTTCATTATTTCTCCATCCCCTGTATTCTCCATCAGCTCCTAGCTTCCAGCTTCTAGTTTCCAACGCAATCCCCAAAGGTTTCAAGGAAGACATGCAGTCAGCCATTTCAACAGAAGAAAATTGTTGAAAGTCGACATTTCGTGGCACTTGAAATCACTCGAGTGAGATATTTACCCTCAGTCAATACCAGAGAAAATTAAAGAGCTGTCTCAAGTAATCTTGATACCAATAACTTGGTATTTGATTAATCCACAACTCCCAGCACTAACTTTATAATTAACTTCTCTGAATTTAAAGGAAATTTTTTATTTTATCAGGTACTGCCTCGACAGACTTGTGGTCTTTTTACCCACACTATTTTCATCGAGAGATATCCAGGTGGACGTGATAAATTAGACGAGTCTATCCAAGGGGGTGAATTATTTCAAACAATAGTCTATAATCCCGTGAGTTTATTTCAATTAATTTCCACTACCCAATAAATAATAGAATGAAATTCAATCTCAATTAATTCTCGAGTTAAAAAATCCTAAACTATTACTCTCGTTTACTTGCAGATTAATATTTTCATGACGCACATGTCCAATTACGGTAATGATCGTCTTGCGCTGTATACATTCGAATCGGTCATTAAATTCATTCAATGCTGGACAAATTTACGACTCTCGAGTGCTCCACCACTCCAGTTAGGTGAACGATATTTCCAACTGTATCCAGAGGAGGCTGATCCAGTTTGGGGTGTACGTATGCGAATATTTTTAATAGCCACCAATTAAACTCATGTACCTCGAAAATTCAATTGGGCAGTTGTGAAGAGTCAACAAATAAATCGATGTGAAATATTAAATTTTACAGAATCCCTGCGACGATCAAAGACACCAGAAAATTTGGTCTCGCAATAAAACGTGCGATCAATTACCAAGATTTCTCGTGATTGGACCCCAAAAAACTGGTACAACAGCTCTGTACACTTTTCTATCAATTCATCCAGCAATTAGCAGTAATTTACCGAGTCCTGATACCTTTGAGGAGATTCAATTTTTCAATGGAAAGAATTACTACAAGGGGCTAGACTGGTGAGTCTTTTCACTGGCAATTCCAACAAATTACTGAGAACAAAATCACTAACACCTCTCATTAATTTCTCGACAAAGAGAAAATTCTGCTGATATAGGCCAATTGAAAATTTTTTCTCTGCTCAGGTACATGGGATTCTTTCCAGCATCGAAAAACGAGAGTTCGCGTTATTTATTTGAGAAATCAGCGACATATTTTGACGGTGAGCTCGTACCAAGACGAGCCCACGCCCTCCTACCAAAAGCAAAATTGATAACAATCCTATTATCACCAGCGAGACGTGCATACTCATGGTACCAACACACGAGAGTGCACGGTGATGCTGTAGCAAATAATTACAGCTTTCACGCAGTCATAACAGCGAGCGATACAGCTCCAAAGCCATTAAGGGATCTACGAAATAGGTGTCTAAATCCGGGTAAATATGCCCAGCATCTAGAAAGGTGGCTGTCTTATTATTCACCCCAGCAATTGCACATCATCGATGGTGAACAGCTACGGCAGAATCCAATAGAGACACTTCACGAGCTCCAGAGATTTCTCAAAATAACACCAGCATTTAATTACTCAACTCATCTGAGGTACGACCCGAAGAAGGGATTTTTCTGTCAAGTAACTAATGAGGATCGTACTAAGTGCCTGGGTAAGAGCAAAGGGCGTCAGTATCCACCAATGGAGGACAGATCGAACAAATTATTGCAGAGATACTATCTATCTCACAATACAGCACTTGTAAAATTACTGAAGAGATTGGGATCTAGAACGATACCCCAGTGGTTGAAGGATGATCTAACAGACACTGTGATGACCTAGCAAACGCCAATTGGATGATTCAAATTTATCCTATCGCTGTCAACAATATCAGAGTCATGGAGATTGGCCTGGCGGTGACGACACACTGGCTGTTGTTGATTTAATCATTTATTGACATTCCACTGGGCTTATTGATACTCCTGGACTTTTGTTTAGGGACCACAGGGCCTATCCAGTGGATCAGGAGAGCCTAATGGCTTTCATCGAGCCATAATAATGTTTAACAAAGAAGCTAGTCAGCGAAATTTGACTCGAGCACTCAGAGAAATTATTACTATTCACAAAGAACTGCTTGATACCGGGGAATATTCTCTTGTCTGGAGTAAATTCTCCTCGTCAATGGTAATTTTTCCTCTCAGTGAGGGAATTTTATGATTCAAGAGACTGCATTATCTCAGATTCATCAAAAAAAATTCCCCTCGAATGTCAATTTTTTGTCTATTTTTTTTAAGAAATACGTTATTAAAACGAGAATATTAATGTTATCACGATGGAATTACGTATTGAAATTCGTAATATTGTCAATGATCTAGAAAAATGAAAATGGGCTCGCATTTACTGGTTTATTGGACCAAAGGAGTCGATAAAATTAGTAAATTTTTCAACTCAAACTTTTATCGTGATCAGATCTGTCCAGAGACGAGACAATGATGAATTTATGGAGATGTTTTATCATGAAAATGTTTGCAAACGATAACGAAAAAGAAGTTACTCGGAACCTGACAAGTTGATACGACAAAAATAAATTATTAGTATTGGGTAAATAGGATAATAAATCCCGTGTATATTTTGACAATATTCGAGTGAGTTTGCGTCCATAATTGTACATTAACAGACGCGTATTTTGATGTCAACCGAATGTAAAATGTAATTTTTTAGTTTAACACCGAGAGGAGAATTATCGAAATTAATGTTGCATTTTTTTAATTTACCAAGTAACAAAAGGAAACGTCCACTGTACAGTGAAAAACAAAATTGTACGTTTCTGTCCCCGTGGGTTTTCATCGGGCTTAAAAATCATGTAGAACTCATTAAAATGAAATTCGCGTATATCTATCGAATTCCCGCCATTAAAAATTATAATCACAAAGTATTTGTTACGTTTGTAAATGTTCCCCCATATTTTTTTTCAATTTTCCAGATGATAAAGTGGATATATGTGTTCGTTGTATCATGACGAGAAAAAATGGAATCAAAGTTTAATGAAAAAAAAAAATCTGTACAAAGTCTATTGTTGCCAGCGAGAAAGGAGGGCAGAATTTTTTTGTTATTCCTCGCTGTCAAACGTGCCATTCAATGCCAGTGTTGTAAATATTCAGTCCCATTGAAAGAATGCCGTGAGAATCGTTCGTTAAATCATGGATTCAATCACCAATATCTGAAGAAGATAACCCTGTCGTCTCCTGACAATAAACAACCGAACAATTGAAAAAAAAAACGTGAAGATTTTTATCCCAGCAATTGGTCTATATGCAAAACAGAACTGAAGAAATACTTCCCTTCATTATTTAACTCGCGATTACTCCAATTGTAATATATTGTAATAATTGTATGAATATAAATATTAACTTCTAATAAAAAAAAAAAAAAATGAAAAACGAAGGGCCGAGAGAAATTATTTCAAACTCCGATCACCACCCCCCAAGTCCACTTCCCACTGATATCTCGTTACAGAATTCTTTCGATGGAAAATATTCTCCTCCGATTCACTGCTCTCAAGACTGAATCTCGGCTCGACCAGAACTTCAACATCAACGTGTTCAATACTCCTTTCTTTACTGATATCCATTGTACTGAAAGTTCTATGAAGTTCATGAGTCGTCATAATACTCATCGGAGTATTGTTTTCAAAGTTATCCATGGACCTAATTGTGTGGATGTTCCTTACTTTCCTCAGTTTCGATTCTGAAGAAGTTGGAAGAATAGAAAAAAAGTTGAAGAAAATTGTAAAAACAAACTATTTTCATACCCGCAGATAAATATTCAGTAAAAATTACATGTCGTCATGAATTTTAATGGTATTTTTTTCACTGGTAATGTTCAATGGATTTTTATCGCCGGGTAATAATTATCTCCAATGAATCATCGCGAAATAAATATAGAAATATAGAAACCTGGTTGAACCACAACAGCATTATTGTGTTGAACCTTGGAATCGATTATCCCCTGATCGGGCATTTCAAGTCTGGCTACACTAGATTCGTGCTTGACAGAGCGTGAATCAGTAACAGTTTCTGATTCCCGACTTGGCTGTGTTCCAGGGAGCATCAAAGAAGCCTGAACGTCAGGATAAAACAACCTCTGGATGAGAGATCTACATGGAAAAATATATAACGAGAATTTCCATCCATTAAAAATTCCCCCAAGTCCTATTAATAGTCTCAACTTTGAATTTTTAATTTACCGAGGTGTTTGTCCGTTGGTAACTGCTGCTCTCAAATGGCTCAAATGCTCAGAGCGATTTCTCAAAACCCCACAACACCGTAGCCCCATAAATAAAGACGTCATGATCAGGATAATTGCTCCAATTATGGAGAGAAGGCAGATAAGTTGCCAGGAAAAATCGAGTAATGAGTTAATAACGTTAAATTTATCCTGGGACTTCTTGAAAAATGGTACAACAAGTGCACCGAGTAATCCAGATACCAAGTGAATTGAAATTGAGTTACAGTAGTCCTCAACGGCACTCTGTGTGATTATTCTCACGGTGAAGTAGAAAATAATTCCGTTAACAGCACCGAGAGTTAGAGCTACGTAGGGTGGATAAATATTTGCACCAGCAGAGACAACAACATCCCCTGCAATCATCCCTTGCACACACCTCATTACCGTTTCCCGATTAAACCGCTCGCCCCCAAAAAAATGAAATGCTATTGTCACGATAGCACATGTGGATATCGACAGAAGATTGTTGATCATCGTCAAATGGGTTTCACCTTCATTCGATGGAAATTTTTCACCGGAGGGATTCGACATCTTCAAGCTCTAAACATAATAATCCTCATCATTACCCTAACGAACAAACATTTCCTACGCTGAGAGAAAATATTAATTCTGCTAAATAATTTTGCTATTAAAATTCAAATCAAACCAATTAAAATGGTAATTATCGAAAAATAATTATCATTATAATTTTTTTAATTTAGCTGCATAATTTGTGAGGAGAATTAATTTTTTTTCTCACTGCAATGAGAAAGGGGAGACCTGGAGGCCAAGAAGAATGAAAAAATATCCAGCAAAGGTGACCCCAGCATTGGCATCGACCCCAGTGCCATCGACTTTTCTTCCCAGTACGAGACACCCAACGAGCCCTAAAAGACCACCAGTGGCATGAACCAGAGCTCCACCTCCATCGTCTATAAACCCTGAAGTACCATCCCTCACTGAATTCCGAATCATCCATCCGTTGGTACCCCAGTGCATGATCAGCGGTTGCAAAAACCCCCCGAAGACTATTCCAATCACCAAAGTCCCAACCGTATGCATTCTTCCAGCTATGCAGTTGGTAAAAATGCCAGAGGCCACCAGAACCCTCTGCCAAATAATCACGATCCTTTCCCTATCAATTCTATCATCACCAATCCAATATCCCCCACCCAAAAATCCATCACCATCTCCAGTGGATGCTACAGCCGAACCCATCAGAATGTAACAAATTGTCACCCAGGTGATCTCCACGATATTGTGCAGCAGAATGAGGTTGACATTGCTCACTGGAATATTTCCAACTTGCACTAGTAAAAAACCCGCACGCAAGAGAATTGTCAAAGCAACACGAATGACAACGGACGTATTCGTTGGATAAACGGATTCGTCAGACTCCCTGAATTTTTCCGCGTCGCAAAATCCATCGACGTCGTACATTTTCACGGGGTTATAAACAACTGATCGAAATATCGGGGATAAATATTTGAATATGGCGGTTAATCTGTGACAACTGAAGGTCATTCGATTGGGGGGGAGATGTATCTTGGAATTATTTTTTGTCCATTGTTATAATTACGAGATCTTGGCGGTTCGAGTTGACCAAAAAGGAATTAATCGTACGCATTTCGAGATATCTCGACTCGGATGACCTTCATTTTCGTGCTTCTATTCTCATTTTATTCGATTTTAGTCAATTTTGGGGAAATTGGCATCCATGAATTGATTTAGTCGATTTGCGTCGGGATGAGTCGAATTGAGTCGATTTGAAAATTGAACACATTTTACATGGAATATCTCGTATTTTTTTCGCCCTTACCTTTACCAACAGACGACATGACACACCACGCACTGGATCACATGCCGGTGTAATGTTTTTCCACAAAAAAAGCACAAAAAACACCACTTTTCCCCCCTTGAAAAACTCCCCACGTTCACTCCCGCACTCCCGATGCACTTTTCCGTTGAAACAAAGAACTCACCCCCCCAAAAAATTTCCGAGAAATCCGCAAAAGTCACCGGTGTCGTACCTAAAAGTCCCGCCCCTTTCAACAGAAGCTCAAATCATCGAATTTCACAAAAAAACACACTGATTCACCGATAAAAAACAGTTTTCGTACTCTACAACGCGTTAAAAACATCGGTAAATCGATAATTAATGTCTCAGCACTTCGTAATTAATTAAACAATCAAGAAAAACACAAATAAACACCGTGAAACCGAGAGCGATTTTCAAGCGGCCCGTCCGCCGTCGCCGTACACCACAAACTGACTGTCTCCTCGCAAGATGGCGGTGAGTAGACCGCGCGCTTTGTGGCGGGAAGCGGTACTGCGACTGCGCAGTGATGTACCGGGAAAAAATGGCGGCAAAGGCAGGGGATTTCGGCGGGAACGATATTGAGACTGCGCAGTGATGTACCGGATAGTGATGGAAGTTGCGCGTGAGAGGATGCGCCCGGGCTGGCGGCAATGGGCGATGCGCGAGCTCCAGTGCGCGGCAAAATAATTTTATTTTTCCCTTTATTCTATCGTATACCGGTGCGATATTCCGAGACATTCGAGTCCACGGTCTCCTGCGTTTCGTTTCACAAGTCACAGTCGCCCGAGAGCGACCACTGGTCCCTCTCCGTCCAGTGGATGACAAATAATACATCAAAGAGGGACTGAACGAGCTATTGAAGCCTCAGGATCATCGAACCTGTTGGCAATTCCCACTTGATAAAATTTTACGTGACAAGTGTTTACATTCTCTCAGTGTTTACTTACTCGAAAATATAAAAACAACAATAAGAAGATAAATATGGCGGCTGCTAGTGTAACGTGTCGAGCATTTATCGTCGTGAGACTCGAAATTACTCGACCCTTGAGTGTTGCATCCCTGACAGCACCCAGGAGATTCAGAAATGTGAGTGTCATTCACTGATTGTTGTTTTATGGAAATATTGAAACGCCGGTTGTCGAAGCTACCGGTTTTTCTTTTGGCTTTTTTTATGAACGCTCCTATTGGCTGATCTGATGTGTTTCGTGCCTATGGAAGAGTAACGAGACTCTTCGAAGGGTTTAAATCGGTTCAAATGCATCCGGATGGTGTTTTGGTTTAGAGGGGATTCAAAGAGATTTCAATCGCTTGAGTAAGTGTCTGATAAGAGTGGATTTATTTTTTAAAAATGGGGCATCAACGCTTCCTGGATTGTAGACTTGACTGATTCACGCAAAATCTTGATTGGAAGTGGATTAGAACTTGAATCAGCAGAACTCTCTTCTTCCTTTGACATTCACGTTGCATCGATCTTCATTCTTTTTTCTCTCTTCAAGTTATTCGTCGTTTTTATTTTGAATATTTTATGTGTCTGGCCTCCATTTTAAACCGACAGTGATTTCAAATTCTTAGTTTGTAGCCCATTGACAAGGAATTCATCACCGATGAAGTATTGACCTGATGTGAGTCATCACAAGGGAATACATCACATAGGGAAGATTGTAAAGGCAAGGCCCAATGATTTATTCATGAGGCTTCTCTGATTTTTTGCGGATCCTTGGACACGCGTATTCAGCCTGACCCAATGCCTCCAATTCCACAATATTATTAAAAATCTCCGCGAAATTTCAAATAGTTTTTCCCACTGAGTTTATCCATTCGCTTATCTGGATGAAATAATCGGTTGTACTGACAGAGGGGGAAATAATTAGTCACCAGACGCTACGATCATTCATCCGGTATTTTTTTCCAATTTATGTAATGTAAATGGCTATCTCCACGTGTTTCCCCGGTAATCTCTGATGATTAGTGAATGTCATTCCGCTCGATTAATTAGTGACATTACGAGACTTATCACTGGTCGACAGACTACATTGATGTGCTTGGGGTCACGTATCGCGTGAATGTGGGCTGTCAAACTGGCTTTTTAAGTATTCCGAGAACAAAAAAAAAACATGCGACGAGCTTGCCCGATTTTTTTCCTCTTAATTCCACCAGATCGTTGACCCCAAGACGTTACAACCCTACCATCACGCAACTGCAGGTGTTTTTAATAGTTGCACCGTGTGTCGTTGGATTTCAAAGCACATTAATTACGAAAATGGATTTGCGGGATTGTCATCATATCGAGATTGAATCCAAAAGAGATAAGGGGATTTAGCTGTCTATAATCTGTATTTAATCTGGCTATTCTGAAGACAGAGCTCTCACGGTTCTGTACGTAAATAGAATAGGGGATTACATCGTTGTTGGCAGGTTCCTTGTGGTTTTGAACCATCAGGAGGTCCTCGTAGCTTCTCTCAAGTCTTGCTGGGTGCATTGGGGTCCATCAATGCGTGATAGTTGAATTCTGTCGTCTCGTACTGGTCTCATAAGACCTTGGAGTTATCTGATTGCGATGTACGTAGTGCACAGAGAAAAGAGCAATGAGATTTCCCATTAATTAATCTCTCACCGCGAGGCAGTATTTTTTAACGTGGAGAAAATCATATCGCAGATTTCAGTGATCCGATTGGGGAACGGAATCTTGAGCAACTGGACCTGTTTTATATCGAAGTGACTGGTTGAACTTGACCCATAAAATCCCTTTCGCGTGTATCCGCCCTCCGAGATATCGCGACACGCGAGCATTAGCTAACACGAATTTCTTCATTTAATACCGTCTCCACGTGATAAAGGGATTAATGACACGTTGGAAAAATTGATGATAGGAAGGGCGGTTAATTGTTTTAATCCCCAGGCACTCCGGAAAAATACCCTGTCCTCGGGCGATAGACAAACCACAGACAGGCGCGACGGAAATTGTCAGGAAATTGAGGTTTCATTGTAAAAAAGAATATTGCATTAATTATCTTGGGAGTATTAACCAAATGCTGTATGGTGATTTAGAATATTCATCATGAATCCGTGGTTTAATGGGATTTTATGATCCAGATACACATTCTTCGAAGAATTATGGGAGAAATAACTCCGAAAACCTGTGAAACAAAAAAAAATCGTCTCGTTCTCTATTTTTTGCACCACGTCAGAGATTATTTCCGGCCTGGATCCTCTATTTTATTTTAAAATCCCTCACACAGTGCCAGTAAATATACACTAGAGACACATTGCAAAAGGACAGTGTGGAGTAAAAAAAATGTTCACGATGTCGCCATTTCTTTGGCAGAAGTAAAACGTATTTGTGGGATTTTTTTTTATCCCGAGTCGTAAAGAACGTATATCTGTATTGTTATTGAGCTCTATGGACGAGGCAAGAGGTGGAAAACCGCCGAGGAAATCCGTATGCATAACCATAAGCTCCGATATGAGAAGGACGAAGACTCCACAACTCGGTTACGACTTGAAACGGTTCAAAGCATCAGCCATTTCACCTCGTGGTTTTTGCCCTAGACCTGGAATTAATCCATTCGTCATTAGCAGTCTCCAAGGCCCTCAAGTGTCACTACACAAGCTGAGGGTTAATTTCCACTTAACAATCTTGTTTACTTCAATATACCACCGTAGAAAGATGTAGTGGTGGTGTGGCTGACGGGAAATTAACTTTATCATCCACTTTCTGGGGTACGACATAACTGAAAAGTATAACATTCAATTTCCCATTGGCGCAGGGTGTAATGGCAGGTACTCCCTGTATATTCGAATCATGGGTTATCCAGGGGACTCAGACTGGAAGCTGCTACGGCGCCACATGAATCGATCTGCTGGAAACCCCTCTACCCCCTGCGGTCTCAACTCCAACACTCATACACACTCTTGAAAATTTTACCCTTCGCTTCCAGAGCTTAATCCTAGAAACGTTCATCGTCTCCATCCGCTGCAATAGTCTAATTGAAAAATCAAAGGCTCTGTTAAAAAAGGGGCTGACATCGACGAAATAGATAACAGAAATACTTTTATTTGGGTGACAGGATGTTGAGGTCCTTGGACACTGATGATAAAAATTGTAGAAAAGTTGTTGGTGGATTTGGGACGCGACCTTTGCGCTAGTGCCCCAGTTCGGTGGACTATGAGGAGATGGAGATGCTGAAAAGGGGAAAAAAATATGAATTTGGTAGGACGATGGAGTCCATCACCACCATGTAAAATCCAGTGAAGTCAATTTCGGTTGTTTCTGAGGGGAGAGAGAGAATAATGATGGTGCATGCGCTCGATAATCCTATTGTCTGCATTCAATGCACCGTGACCTTTTATACGGCTCATTTGATAGTCACTTTCCACGAATTGATAATATTTTAACCAAACGTCTACCGGTTAATGTTAGCTTTCAATTGTGTTTACATGTGGATGGAACTGGCGCAAGTCGCCAGGGATTCCACCATTATTTTCCGTATATTCTGACTGGCGAGGTGAAGAGGATAGTCGCTCCTGTCGAGGACCCCTTATTTACCGAGAGGTTGAATACGTAATTTGCATGCTTGAGAATTTCTCCCTTTGCACCGGAGATTCTACTCTAGCCCGGAGGAAACATCAATTACATTCTCGTATCTGAGTAATCAAAGCGCTGAAAATTTATTTCGGGATTTTCAATAAATAAAAATAACGGAATGAGTGATTGGACGCTCGATTTATCGGTTGATTCACTTTAAAATCCCTCTCTTTTCTATTTTTCGTCTCGGTAGGGCAGTCGTGTTTTTAATGAAAATTCTCTGGTGGTGTATCGTTCAGCACACGGTCAAACGAATATTTCCCTTTGGAACTGAAAGCTAGGAGATGGAGCAGTTGGTTTACCAGAGTAGAATGCACTCAACCGGATTATATTCAGGCTGTCCAACCAATGGTTCAACAATATTCAATGACGGGTGAAACCAATTTTTAAACAATTTAAGTACGACAAGTATTTGGTATTGATGCTTTCCCAGAAAGTGTCTGCTATTGTGGTGCCCTACAGAAATAACGCACTGGACATATGCCAGTTTGTCATAAAATGAGCGTTCTTCCCCTACGTGCCCCCCAGAACGTATTCTAACATTAAACATTCCATCGGGGACTTTTGACTCGAGGCCAGGAAGGAAGGCATCGTCTGCCCGAATTTTCCCCAGGGATATTTTTTATATTGCGCCTGTCGCCCAGTTGCAGTTGTAATAGAATTTTTTCAAAACGCTCATACCCTACCTCAGGCAAAAATAATTCTTGATGGGAATTCAATTCTCTTGAGTTGATTTATGTGTAAAAATTATTCCTCTGTGATAAAATCGTGGAATTTTCATGAATTGTGTTATTTTTGGTGGCACTCAAGACGAGGAAATTCAATATCATCCCTTGAAAGGATCGAAAGTCCCGGTATCTTGGGTGTTCATCCATCTGATATCATATTTTGTATGGCTTATCGCTGATGGAGTGTCCCATCATGCGCAACAATACATCTAACGTGGCGAATCAATCGATCTCTCGCGAAATCGGTTTTATAGGAACTTGAAGAGCTTCTCAGTGAAAAATAAATGTGATGAAAATTCACGGACATGTCAATATGCATGAGGCCTCCTTTGAAAGATAACTGAGTTGCAAAATCGGGGAGGAAAAATGATAGAGGACACTGGGGCACTGTGTATGCGTTACCATGCATGTGGATCAATAGACACTTGTTCCATTAAGATGATTCATACATCCAATGTATTTGAAAGTTCACCCCAGAAAAATTATTCAAATCCGCGAAAATTTCCGCCCATCGACAGAGAATTATCAGTGGTAAAAATTCCTGGAAATTCAGATTCAATTCCCTCATAAATTTGAAATTCTCGTCGCCTTATGAATCACCGAATCATATTAGGGAAATATCTCAAGCACAAATATTTTTACTCTTTGTATGTAGAATTCACTCTTGCATTGACTCGAGCATTTTTCGAAGTCATTAAAAACTTTGAAAAAAAGTTTTCACGACAAACTCAGATGGCGTTCGTTAACACCCGCTTGGGATTCATTTTAGAATTAGACTGAATTACGTGGTAATGAACACTTGACTCGAAAGAGTACAAAAACTCGTACGAAAATAAAAAAATGAAATCCGACAGAAATCGATATTCTGTCTCCCAATTACTGGAATAATCCGCCTCCAGCAATTTCAATTTTGAATGCAATTTGAAACTTTTTAAATCCCCCAGCCTTGTACTTTGGTTGATTCCGGTGTAATCTAATAGAGTTGAACTTCATTGGTGGATTCCATTCGTATTATTTACTCGGAATCCACACGCTGAGTTTCCCGAGGGATCAAAGCACACGGGAAATTGAACGTTGAAGGCAAATCTCGTAATCTGTGGTAGACACACGTACAAGGATTGCCAAAGCAAAAATTTCCGATCTGTTTTTTTAAAAATTCGTATCACACTCCAATTTTCAACCGTCAATTATTCTCAAAACAATAAATTCTATGTTTGATCATGTGTTGATTATTGCGGTGCCCATAGCAATGATGAAACTTCAATATTAACCCAATCAATAATTAATATAAACGTGAACATATGCGTGAATATTCGCCACCATCCATCCGAATTAATGAACCAACCGCTTGTCAATACAAATTTTCCCCCACTTAGCAATCGAATTTCGATAGTTTGAAAAGTTGAGATTAAACTCCCACAGACTGTGGCACTGGTGACACACCCAGAACATGCATAACATTCTCAACAAGTGCATTACAGTGCATAACAGTTTGATTTTTGTTCCCAGGAGACGTGGTGTCGACGATGGTGGAATATATCACAACGTAGTTTATCAACGACAACTAGAAAATTTGCCCCAGCACTGAGTCCCTTGCTGAATAGAGAGGCAAGGGAATTCAAGGAGCCAAGAAGCTCGCAGAAAATAACGAAGGAGGCTAAAAGTACGAAGGAACTTCCACAGCCTGATAGCTCCACCCTGACTGGTAAGCGATCATTTATCCAGATGCCTCATGATAGAACAATTGAATTCCAATATTTACTAATTGAAATGTCGATCATCGTCATGAACATGCTCGATGAACGGCTCCAGAGAGAATAATTCCCTTCGAAAACATCAACAATTAACCACAAGCATCTATCCAATTTTCCATTTCCAATGAGAAACATTGAAGGACGTGTGCCAATTAATCATCCCTGAAATTAATATCATAGTCATTCAATGAGATTACGCAATGGCCCCCGTGTTCCTTTGTTTGTTTTATCACGTGTCGTGATAATAAAGGATAATGTCTCATCCCATAATAGATAGGACGTATTTACGACCCAGTTACTTACTCGTATATCTGCAATAGCCTATTTTCATGACTTATAAATCCCTCCGTACGCTGATATATCATCAGTGTATCCAGGTAAACTCATTGCTGAAGAAAAACGCACGCTCATAACTGTAAAATCCTCTTGAAAACGTCCATTCAGCGTTACAAGCCCGAAAACAAAGTTTTTATTGTTACTTTTCATGATTTCGTTTCAAGTGTCGACAAAAAAAATATAAATATTTTTATAGACACAATCTCTGAGGAAAATATTTCACTAGCTCAAGTACAGTGTTAGATACAATCGCAGTTCTCACATAAGTGAACGCAGCTTGATAGAAAGTGTTTAGTCAGACCCATCGATTCGCTGTTACACCAGTAGTTGTGGCTTTTATGATGCCCTCCGACCTCTAGACTTCCTCCGTTCACAGAACTCCGTGATTACCCTCGTAGAGTGAAATGACACACACCAAAGGGATTTTCCCAGCATGAAAAGACCTGTAGTAGAAAATTGAATTTTTTCTCTGTAATAAAAAAAAAAGCCTGAGGTGAATAGATTTTATTGGTCATGCCTGGGTAGCCCATTCACAATTAAATGACATCTCATATAACCCTTTGAATTAGTATTTATATTCCGATTTATCTTCAATATTCTCCACTCGTTCAATTCTATAATTATTACACAGAATATTGCCCCAGGGCATCACTCCCCACTTATTCGAGAAAATAAATAATATTTCACGAGAGGAAATTCATTCATTCATCATTAAGATAACTCAGTTGTCTGTTCCATTGAGACTATCCTCGAGCACTTCAAACTCTTCGAATTCCATTTTCCCAAAATCCGTTTGATTCCTCTTCCAATCGTTCTCGTTAATCTGCCACTTTGTCAGTGCACTCGTAAATTTATTAGCAATACCCGTTTTGCCACCATCAATCTTACCGAGACGAAAATCGGCCTTGAAACAGCTGTCACGACTCTCATCCCTCTTCGGCTCCAACCCTATCACAACCGGTGGCTCACGTTTGCTAATACTCTGACTAATAATTTCCACTCTGTCATCCTCAAATCGTAAACTATCAGGACTCGTTATTTCGATACTCGGTGATTCAGCAATAGTGCAACGCCTGAGGTCAGAATGACGTATTGATTTGCCAGAGCTGTTATTATTCTCCCTCTGTTTAGCCTCCAACCTTGATCTCCTCTCAACAACCCTTCCAGCGAGCTCAAGCCTGCTGTCACAAGAGTTGCTCTTGACAAGACGAAACTTGACGTAATCGTCGAGTCTCAGACTCGGCTTGGTGCTCTTGACTAATTTGCAACTGGTGGGTGAAATGAGTGGCCCATTGCACGAATTAACAACTTTACCACCATAATATGTTACTGATGTACCACATTCGCGAATTTTCTTCAAAACATCAGGTGACACGTAATGCCCATCCTCTCTCTCAGTGTTACGCATTGCGTCATCTTCCCTGCAATCGATATCCTCATCCTCGGAGGAGGTGCAGTGAGCACCACTTCCAGGATCGGTGTCAGGATAATCACTTGATACACCTGAACTCACACTACCAGCGTCCCAATTAGTCAGATGATGGCGTCGATTAATTTGTTGTCGATAGCGTTTAGCTTTATTCCTAGCACAACCAGAATCACTGGGTGATGTATCTCCACTTCTTGCTTCAAATGACTGTGCAATTATTCTAGTCTTAGATTCATGTCTACCGTTACCGATGTCGCCTTTACCTGTCCGATTACCTGAGGTTCCTCTCTCGAGTCCCTCAAACAGACGCATCAGGTCCTTCGCTCTGCTCGATGATCTTGATCTAAAAACAATTTTTATAATTACTGCAAACATTCAGCTTTACTCGATGAACAAATTCAGCCTTGCCAAAAATGATGGTCTTAAATCCTTCCTGAAATAATACCTGGAAGTCTCCAAATTCCTGACGTCATCAATATTACTGAGATCTTTCATGCTGACACTCTTCCGATCTTTACAATTGCCCCGAGCCATACCATCTGCACTCTTTGGCCTCAATGTCGCTTCGAACATTCTCCTTACGTTTCTCACAGTATCAGGGTCAGGCAGCTCTTCATCGATTAATTCACGATTTACCCTGTTCACCGAACTGATTATTTAACGATAACGATATAGTTCTCCACTGTTGAACATTATTAATGACTTACCTTATTGGATGATAGAAGAAATGTTTTCTCAGTGATGATTGTTTGGGAATATTTTTGCTCTCATCATTTTTCGGCATTTCCGAATTATTTGTCTCGCTATCTAGCTTTTTGTGTGGTGAACCCGCAGCTTTGCAGGCCACCGAGGTCTTTCCCTTGCCAACAGTTGATGATTTTATCTCAGCCCGTACTGGCTCGATTATTACGACATTGTTATCAAGCAACAACTCTTGAAACGAATACTCTCGCAGATATTGCATAAGCCCATCATACCCAACATCCCCTTTACTCGGCACATTTCCATATATATTTTTTCCAAATAACCGTGATTTTACGATTTTATAACGAACGTGATCAAATTCTGGGGCGTCAGCTTCTTGACACTCCAAGGAATTGAGACAGCTTCGAGATCTCGTCAGATTCGTTCGTGATTTGTTCCCTGATTTGCTATATTTGTCTTCGAATTCAACAGACAGCTTTCCCGGTTTTTTCCTCGACACTAGATCATCGACGTCAACACCGTCGTCAATAGATCTTCGTCTACCCTCGCTACCGCAGTCTGAGCCAAGACCCAGATCCGAGCTCTCTGATCTCGCTTCAAATCCCAGGCTTCCACGAACTGCGCTGCATGCTTTTCCTATCATAGTCGAGGTCTCCTTCACAATCTTCTCAAATCTACCCTCTGGTCTAGGTAACTCTCTCCCAGGTAATTTTGATTCGAAGAAGTTGCGTGCAAGCTCAACACTCGGGCGTGTCTCACCGGTTTTGCATTCCTGGAGCAATAAAAAAATAATTATCTCTCAAACTCAATCACTCGTTAATTTCCACAGAATGGAGAATCTTTTACCTGTTTATCGATTGGATTCATTTGCCCCACATTATCGTCGGTGATATTCTGCTCCAGACAACTGTTCATTTTTTTATCATTCGTCTCCTCCCTGACATCATCAATCTCGATGACAGTAGGTCCCCAGCCCCTCTTCCTCGTCACCTCACTGTCCACGATTTTAAGGACCTGCGGTCGCCTGGACATGTCCTTCTCGTGACTGTCGATCTCCTCACTGTCAGATATCCAGATTGATTTGAAATCCTCAGCCTCTTCAACCCTCGTCCCCTCACCTCCCTCGTTCTCATCAACAATTCCACTTGTCAAAATATTTTCCCCACCGTCAGACTGATTTTCCCGCGAGTTCAGAGTATCTGTCGGTTGTTCCCCAAACGAATTATTGCAGTATCTATTTTTCCCCTCGTGCCTCACGGATTGCTCGTCCTTGGCAGTATCAAAGGACTCACGATGAGAATCCGTATCCCAGACACTCCTCCCAGACGACGAGAGAAAACTCTTCCAGGACTCGTCTGTCGGACTCTTACCGATTATTTTATCATCAACCGTCTTACTTTTTTCCTCGTCCGTCACATTGCTATCAAGCTGCAACGAGCTGTCCTGATTATCATCGGAGAATTCTGATACCTGAAGGACTCTCGGTGTTTGCCTTCGATCTGAATCTACTGTTGATTCACCATCAGCATCACTGAACGTCTCGTTTCCCTTTTCATTTGGCAAATTGATACTCTCTGATGGTGTACAGTTCCTCCTGTCCTCCTCGTCAAACTCCAGGCGAACCTTTGACAGGGGCAGCAAATTCAACACATCAAAGTACTCAAGCTCACCATCATCCTCGAACAAAATACTGTCCAAGCTACGGTGCTCCTTGCGTTTACGCTTCACCTGTTAATTACGTATTCCATGGTATTATCAACGAAAATGAATAGAGACACTTTGTCATCATTAAAATATCAGGTATTACACACGGTTAATGGTTAGTGATATGTACTCAGTGCAGAATAGTGTGAATTAAGCAAACTCCGTGGAATATATGTGCCGTTGTTAATGCAGATATTATTGCCATGAAGTAAGAGAACCAGGTCACAACCATGGCCACCTGAATTTAACGAAAGAGCTTGTATGTCTCCTTTTTGTGTCTCAGTGGCAGCCAACGTACCTAGTTGCCAACTTTTGTCGACAGAAATGCTAGAAATGCTAGATCAATTATGGGATTGCTCAGCGGAATGAGAAGGAAAATTAATTGTGTAATAATCTCCAGAGGGGAAACAGAAGATCATTTTTTGATGGGAATTCTCAAGTCGTTATCAGTTTTTAATGCACTCGTAAAGTTGTCTCGATCCTCATCTCGGGGGAATTATTCATTAATTTATGATATTTACCTGTGTGTATATATCTCGCTGTCCTTCAGTCAGGGGCCAGTCATCCTCAACAATGTCAACAAGTCCGCTGACAGTGTCGAGGTCCTGATGGCTGCGATATCGCCTCGGTGTTCTCGGCCAATCGAGTATATTTAATCGATCTGAGTCCTCCCGACTTGTAATCCTGGTGGGGAGCTCCAGGTAGGGCAGAGTCGATGGTCTAGAGTGGAGATCGCAGATGGATTGAGAGTGATAAGGTACCTCGTGATACCTGTCGTAGGTGTCCGACAGATGCTGCTGACTCTTGGACAATCTTTGGGCAGATTGAAAAGGAAAATTGAAAAATTCCATCGGTGATTTGCCCTCTCCTTCGGTATTACGATAAATCGTTTACCTCGGGTGATTAATTACCTGTCCTTGAGGGAATTCCTGTCAATGAGTTTGGCTCGTGGGATCAGCTGAGGCCGTCGTGGCCCATCGAAGGTCGGATCTCCCAAGGAAAAATTATGATTGACCTCTCGATCGTTTCTTCCCTCCGATATCACCGCTAGACTCCGTGTCCTCTTCAGCAATTTACGACGGTCCTGAGTGTTATGCTCACTCTGGCTCTCGTAACGGGCCACTTCCCTGCCATGAACAAATAAAAAATTACAATTACGAAAGATGTAAAACCAACCGATTCACATCTTCACTATTATTATCAAACGATTGAAAATGTCGGTTAATCTTGATAGGGCGATTTGAATACATTCGTCTCTTGCGTAATGAACGACAATGAATTCACCGGTGCCTTTTTACGCGTCACGGTTTCACTCTCGTCTCACCAACAAATGCGGTAATGTAAAAAAGTAAAACGTCGGTTTAACCGCGATTTTGATAAAAATTTCGTGCTCTGAATTCGCCGGTTCAATCCTTGGAAAAGTGGAGCAGAAACAGATTGAAGGGGTTGAAAATAAAAACTAGGTCATTATGTTTCGGTTCTGGATGAATGAAATGATAAAATAATATCGTCTGTGAAGATCCGGAGGCACCGGGTGGAAGTAAAAAAATTGAGAATAGGGGGTGGGGTAATTGGCGTTAGTTAGCCCTCCGTGGAAACCCAATCACTCGAATCAATTGAACTGTGAGTTAATTTACCTCTGATCAAACTGCACTTTCAGAGATAAATAAAGTTTCACTGCCTCTGGTATACAAATCCCGGGAGATTTCTGGTGAATATTGGCTCGAGTGAGCCTCACAAAATTTCTACTCAAAATTTCTGACCCTGATGAAATTTCAACCATTGAAATTCATGTCGTGTCGTTAATTTCGAAATCGGAGGATCAGACAATTTTATTTTGTGTTGCACCGTGATGAATGGATCACGTATAAAATCTATCTGTTATCATTCAGCTAGAGGAAAAATTACTGAAAAATATAGATACGACTAATTGAGATGGTGAGAAGGGACTGAGACCTCTTAATTCTATAACGAAGCACCACAGAAAAAAAAACCTCAGCGCATCCGTTCTCATTGTCTCCTCTCGGGCAAGACGACGTATTATGTAATTCTTCAGTCGTGATTTATATCGTTAAGCCATACTATTTTTTAGGGATTAACTGGCGCAATAGCTGTTAAATACTCATCATTCGACAAATTAGGTGGGTCTTAGAAAAAAATTTTATTTCACAGACACATATTTAAACATTAATTGATACTTGTCGTTCCCAGAATTTTTACATTGAATTGCGAGACTCCTTGAAGTACCAGTGCAAGTAGATACTCGTTAAAATAGTAGAAAAAAAACCTGGGGAAAAAATGGGGGCTCATAAAAATGAGGAACAACTCAGAAACCTATCAATGACCTCAGATTTCTGATCGATTCGTCAATTCCCAGTGAATAGCACAAAGTCATTAGCCAGGATTAGTCCACACACGATGGAATATCCCGTTGAATTTCCGGTTGAAATGAGTCTCAACCCCTGGCCTCCCCTGGGTCTGAGGAACCCCTTGTGGATGTCCATGGCTGTCTCACGTATAGAAACCTGTCATGAATATCCCATGACCCAACGGACAGGAAGTAGTTCCGCAGTTTGACTTCACCTCGAGTGTCGCAATACATTGAAATTAATACTGTCATTTTCAAAGTCAATCAATTTTTTTTGCTTCAAGAGCTAATATTGCTCTCCTCAAAAAAAAAATATAGAATCGATCAGTATTTACGAAGTGCCTTTATCACCGACTGAAGTCTGAGCTATTTCTCTCTTTGACGGGCCTTGACATTTCCCACAACATCCAATAGTAATAAAACCCACTAAGTACCAATAAAAATCGAGATAAATTCATCTCCGTCATGTACAGCTTCAATGGGAATTTAAAAAATAATAATCTTCATATAATTAATTGCGGATTACAGTTTTCCCATTTTTCATGGTGTCCAATGGCGATAAAAGCCATTGAATGCCACAAAAAATGGAGATAAATTCATATCTCTCATTTTTTTAACGATTCTTCAACGTTCGAATGATTGCGGTACGTAAAGCCTGAAGAGGATTTAACTAGGGATTGTCCCATGATCCGCAGAAAACCCCAAATCCCTTTTTTCTCTTTGAAACTTTTGCTGTCCCAGTTCGCCTTCCATCTTTCCACTCCATTCTCATTGCCTTTTCACGGAAAAAAAATACGCGACAAGTGGACGAACATCCGAGGACGGAACAAAGTTTCTTCCCTGTCAATCCCAGTGGGAAGGCCTTCAAAATGATATTGAAGTGGATCAGCTAAATTGGATCAAGCTGGCAGCAGAGAGTCGACAGAGCGCAGTAAAAAATTTTCCGCTGAATTTCCCGGGTCTTAGCGTTATTTCCGATGGAAAAGATCCGAGTATCCAGGGAAATTAATGTTCCTCGTGTTTTAAAAATAAAAATAATTTTTAAAGACAGGACAAATCCATAGGATCACTCACCTTGTAAAAAATCCGGCACGAAGACAACGTTTTCTGATATCTTCGAGAGTCGCTTGGAGTAAATTCCCACGAGAATAATTTATACCTCAGAAGTGGAGAGAAGGCTGACAATATTTTTAGAAGAAACTTGAGGGTTGTGAATCGATTGGCATGAGGCAACTAGGAGGAATACGGGCACACCTGTTCCTGACAGAGTGCACTGAGAATAGTGGCACTTGAATTGTTGGTATATCCCAAGTTGTTCCTGTCCCCCAGCACTTGTCTGCAAGAGACGCCACAGCTGGAGGTGGGGAACCAGTAAAATCATCTACCTGTGATGTGTATTCGAAGATCTCGTGATGACTCCAAAAGAATCATTTCAATCTCAACGAGATGTCAATTTTTTTAACGAGAGCAAAACACTTGGAATCTGTCATCATTAAAAAAAGGGACTCTTGGAATGATGACAGTCTCTCGGGCGAGTGCTATTGAATCCCATATTTATCTGAATTTTTCAAGTTTTTTCATCAAGTTTGAAGTTCAAAATTGAATTTTTAGAACTGGGGGAGAGAAAAAAAAATGAGGAATAAAGAAAAAATGCACAGCGTGCCAAGGACGTGTTAGACCGAGCATAACGTGCGACGTGTGCATAGAATATAACGTACAATCACGAGGACTCAAATTTAATTCCAATTAGAAATTGCTGTTGGCCTCATGCAAGCCCATTTATCCGAGTAAATCCTCCTCCAGTCTGAGGAAAAAAATGAATTCATTCTGGGAATCCAGTTTGTCCTTCCTTCCTCAAAAAAGAATACACATCCCCATGAAATTAAACTGAGAGGACAAATTTTAAGTGAGGCTTTGCGAACACAAGAAGTGCAATCCCAAGAGACAATTAACATTTTTTAACTGCCGGTCTAATGACTGGAGTAAACGTTTAATTTTCGTCGAGTATTTTACACCGAGTGAAATCTCATTTTTCTCATTTCAATTTAACTGCTAATCTCGTTAACGCTGAGAGGAAAATTGCAAGCAATTTTTACCGTCAGCTCGAGGAGATGATTTGTCATTAATTAAAAGATTCTAGTGAATTTTTGTTGGATAAATTGTATGAGCTATTATCTTGTCATTTTTTTTTGTGTAATAGAATAAAAATAGATTGCACGTTCGAGTCCACTCGACTTGTGCCTCCACGACGCATTGAAGATCGTAAAAGTAATCGTAAGAGTGTGAAAGCTGATCAATATCCACTGAATCATCCTCTCGATTAATAAAATCCCGGGATTTATTTACGTCGTGCCCCGGAAGTAATTAGCATTCCCTCTAGGGTGGCCCATATTCACCGATGTTATCTGAGATTAAGAAAGTAACCATATTGTATCCAATTACAAGAGACAAGTAGATGACAGTCAACACAACCCCTTAAACGTCTTTCACCTCTCGACTTTTTTTTTTATAACCGTGTACTTGTGGCTTTCTTCCCACATCATTTCCCTCATATACATTTCACTCTCTGCTGATCTACCATTTTAAAATTACCCGCCTCTATTTAAATCCGCGGATAACCACACTAACAGAATACGAAGAAAATTCTTTTACCATGAGAATTTTATTTGCGAAACCTATCATTTGGTTTAACAAATCAAATTCAAAATATCTGCTAAACAAATTAATTCTCTTTAGCCGTACAGTGGCTTATCCTGGATTAAACTGTGGAATTAATTACAATAAATAATGGAGCTATTGTTATTTCTCATTTAACAATATCTGTTGGCAGTTGCAATTACCTTCAAATAAATTTCCTACGGAAATTGGGTGTGACTCTTGTCTTCATCTCTTTGCACTGTTCCATTAACACACTCTGCTATTTCGTAATGACAATTTTAATTTCACGCGTAATTAATAAAAATTTATCACCGCTTATTATGCAAATTTTATTTTCATTTCTTTGTCGCAGTAGTGAACATGTACCGGGGCGAGAAAAGAATGAACAAACGTGCAAGAATTACACGTAAGTTTTTTTTTAAATCGGTCTAGCGAATTATTTTTTTCGTGTATTATCCATTTTCAGGAATAATCCATTTATTTTTATTGATATTAACAATCCTAGCACGTGATATTTTATGGTTTTGATGATTGGAATTATCTTCAGGTAATTAGAGGCACCCGGTGAGTTAATTTAATACAGAAAATTACGATTTGTGAACTGTTTGGTGTAAGCACTGGTGAACAACTGGCGCACGACTCGTAATTTTGTCGACTAGAAAACGAAAGGGAAAGGTTCGGATGGAGGGGTTTTCTGTGGTTTTTATTCAGGTGTTCCCCACCTGCTTGGGGGTGATTTCAGTGAGGGTTGATCGACACCAGGTGACTCATTGATTTCCTGTGTCTATCGTTGGCATTAGAATATTTTTATCGTTTCCTCGCTAAAAATTCAAAGATCCAAAAAATTTGAATTACGTTTAATTGTTTTTTTTTTATCATTCTCAATCATTCATTGATATCTTTTATTACAGCGTACCCAGGTAAAAAAAATTGTAATCGGAATATTTTTTACCCGGGATACTGTCATGTGTGATAAAAAAAATAGTAAAATTACGAGACATTTCCATTCGACTTCTCCAAGGACGAATGCTCTCAGTGTGAATCCGATTATCACATCTCCGTGAATTTTACTACCGAGTTATAAACACTAAATCTAACAAAAGAAGTGAAATAATCCCGTGAATATTCTGCATTAGGGCTTGAACGTCATGGATATTGCGTGCTCGAGCTATTTCACCCTCGTGCACTATTTTCAATTTTCACCTAGTGTCGAAACGATTTAATATGTATTTATTTATGACGAAAGATAAACGATGCATGGAATTTTTTGATTTATCGGCAACATCTGGTGATGCAACACATTTTTTTTCTGCACGAGCCATTCCCATTATCATAAATAAAAAAAAAACAAAAATAACGAGTACTCCTCATATTTATACACTGGTAAATTCTCGTTTTATTGATTTAACTGCAGTTTACCAACATTGAGTTTTCATATTTCGACTATAAAATTTTCCCCTGGAGAAGTTCCATTCCTCTACCCGAAGGGCGTATTTCACGTCAGGCCGAGCCCCGGAATTTCATGAATTCCCGTGCAAACGTTGAATTTAAACGCAATTCGTCATGGATTGCCACCCATGAAAGTGAAATACTGAAACATGCGTTGAGAAAAAATAATCACTCGTTTCTAATCTAATCCTCCTAAGGGATTTTTTAAAAATTCATAATAGAGCTGGAAGCGGGAATTCTTTTTTGTACACAAATTCCGACAAGTGTTGATGATTTCACCGGAGTTTAATGTGAATTTTTTATTTCAATTGGTACAAAACGGTGGCATGTACACAGAATTGCTCTCGCTCGTTATCACCATTGCTAGTCCGTCATTATGCGCGAGTACAATTAAAGAGCGGGAATAACAGACTGAAATAAATTCATCTTCGAAAGTTTGATGATAGTCTGTCTCGTGGCATGATCTCGCGTGACACACAGGGGAATGGGGTTTATTGTTTCGTTTTAATCCGTTGAGAGCACACAATCAGTGACAGCAGGCACAATGAAATCCTTGATAGTAACAATGCAGAAAACAAATACCAGCGAGAATAGAAAATTACGTTTTTCGAGTGGCGTCCAGTAGAGTACGCCTTTCTCTGCCCTATTTTCCCAATTTTATGAAAACAAAAATCGCTTGAAAAAATTTGCAATCCCTTCCCATAAATGTCTAATCGACAGTTCTAATTGGATGGATTTCGACTATTGCCCGTTTTTAATAACAATTTTTTATTCCGTTCATTTCAATTTTATGGTATCGATAAATTCTGATTTATGGACTTTTCATAATAATTCTCCTGTCAATTCTCAACGTCATGTTTTCCCTGAAGTAAAAAAGAATTCCAATTTACGATTCCCGGGTAAAAAAAAATTGTAATCCAAATATTTTTTCCAAATTTTCAAAAATTTGATTAGGAAAATTTTTTGAAAATTTGTAAAAAATATTCCGATTACAATTTTTTTTTTACCCGGATGGTCAATAATGACTGGGAATTATTCATTAAAAAAAAAAAAACAATACCTGTTTTCGCTCGGTTCGAATTCCATAGTGACTTGACAATAAACAATTTGAACCGAAAACATCGCGACGAATTAAAAAAATCGACATAAAAAAAAAATACCCAAAAAAATTCACAAGCGAATAATAAACATGAGTCATGTAATTCCAACGAAATAGCGATAGTACACTGAATTTCCAGCCCGAGGGTATTTTAACCATTGCCCACCATCGGAAAGCGAAGTGGGCATGAAGACCACCATTCGCCCATCGAATCCATTGTTTTCATTACCCTGTAGTTGTGTACGTAATGCATAAAGAGGATTCGATGACCATCAAGTGATGTGAGTCGAGCCTGTGTGATTACATAGTGTGCGTACATGCGAAAGCAATTGAGAGATTGTACACGGATGTCCGGTGTTCCGCCACCTAATTTTCCTTTCCTTCCGCACTCCCACTATTTATTTTTCCCATTCAGATCAAATAATTTTATTAAAACCACGGGGTGCATCAATAACAAACCCCTATCTACACAACGACAACAAAAACACGAAACATTTTCCTCGACTAGTAGAGCCCGGACGACTCAATAAAAACCGGAAAAAACTTTTCTCATTATCTAGCACTGAGTGCAGCTCGAAAAATTTAGAATAATGAATTATTAAATAAAAAATTATTACCAGCAGTAATTTATTGACTGAGGAAATAATAATTTTTTCTAAATGTATAAATAATTTAATTTAAAATTATTAGATTCCCGAGGGATTGTTGATAGACTGACGAAAAATATGGGAATGGTAATTAGAATTGTAATGAGAATTGTTCATTGGACGCTCATTGCATATACAATGGAGCGTGAAATTCTGGAGACCTTGACCAAGGCCACTGGATGATTGCGAGTTCATTGATATCGTCTCAAAGAGATTAATCAGTATCAACAAATGTGGCCGCATATTGTCTCATCTGCAAACCCATTTGCATATTCATTTCTGCGGGAAATGCAATGCGTTTGCTCTCGGTGCATAGATTAATTCAATTCCCAGGGTATTCTTCTCTTCTTCTCACCACATATCCACCAAATTTATGCATTGTTATTCAAACTCACGTCCTGATTATCATAAATTATTATTTCTTATTCAACAATGAAAGAGTCTTCGTGTTTGCAATTAACCGAGAAATGGGAATAGTGTGGAAAGCGGCGATTATTTTCACGTGAAAAAGAAAACTGATGACCCACTTTGCTTCACTCAATTGATGGAAATCAATAACAGCAATCGGCATTAATAAGTTCTCAATTTTTTCTTTCATATCATTATTTCATTAATTTCAATTTGATCACACGATTTTTTATATTAGCGAGCAATTATTCCGTTGGAATGAGACATAAACAAATTTTTTAAACATGTAGTTTAGCGTTTCGTGGACAATAAATGAATGAACACAAAAAAAAATAATCTAGTTGTTGTACGGGAAGTGGAGTATCGTGCCTCATAATTTCTTCACGTGGGATGAGCATTTGGAGCATGGATCACGTGCTAATAATCGTTTCTTGACCATTGCAGCTGCTTGAGTAATTAACGATTGGTAATTATCTCGCAAAGTCAACGTGCCAGAAAAGAATGATCATTTCGTGAGAAATTCTTGGTAGAATCGACTTCAATTGAACTTTCAGAAGTTTATAAAACAAGTTTCATCTATTTCGCGATCTTCCAATTATCAAAGAGTACTAATGAAAGGCTTTTTCGAGTTCATTCTCTGGGTTGAACTTTCCAGCTGAGTATTTCAGACACGAACACGATACAGAAAGCTTTCGGAGGGCACTCGATCCTCAAAGAGTAAACTTTGCTACTAGTCTATGTAGAGATGCACCTGTACGATATTATAGCCGAAACGTGCGGTTGAGTTCTGATGAAATTCACTTGAATCTTCAAGAGTTTCGATAATACACCATTATAAAATTTTTCGCTTTAATTTCCAGCCGAAATTCTCAAAATTTCAGGAAATATTCTCCTTGAAAAATTGAGTAATCCATTATTTTTCCGTCGATTCTCCAGGAGAATGCTACACTCCAAAGAGCAAAAGAGTAAAATCGAGCTGAAAGAAATGTCAGGGCTTTTAATTTTCCGTTGTGTATTTATACTGACCTTTGGCCCCTTTGTCGTTGTCTCTCATGCATCCACAATGCATCTCCGAGATTATGTGCACCACTCTGTGCACCACCCATAATTGATCAGCCGTAGAAAATGGAAAATCGTTAAATGATCAATTGTCAATGTATAATCGATTCCATGAGCAAACACAGGTTGCTACTACGATTTGCATCAAGTGCAACTGATAGAATTTTTATTTGCGTTCGTTTTGCACTCTGCGGCGATAAATATTCCTGGGGTCTTCACCAGATGGCGAAATTCCATTTTTCGTTCCGCACATGTAGCGTCATTTTGGGCATTTTAAATCAGCTGACAGCCAGTGAAATAAATAGCGAAATTGAGTTTTCCTACGTTAACTTTTTCCGGAAAGGGTTTTGGCTTGACGGCCTTGACCCACACAGATTAAAAAACATAAAAAAAAAAACTGGAATTCCCGGGGAATTCTGGATTTCTCTGGGACAAACGTTGTTTACTTATTAATCGTACACAGTCTCGAAGTAAACTGATGGTACGTAAGGCGAAAGAGGCTTGCGTGAATTTTCGCTAAGATTGGCAAAGTACCGAGTGGCGGGGGTTCTATTGCGGGACCACTTTTTTACTGACTAGTGGAGTCAGTACTTTGTTCTACGGTCGTGCACCTGGGGTACGGGTACCTCCAGTTTCCCCATTTTCCGGTGATATGAGTTATCGATCAAGTGATTTCACCCGCCAGCAATACGAACACCAATTGAATTTTTATTCGTACACAATCATTTACCCCAGAGCAATCTTGGTTGTGAATGACATTGACCTAGTTATGCTCTGCACCATTAAGTCATTGTTTGAATAATAGATGTGATGATAGGGAGTAATTAAAAATTCCTGAATGGAAGGCCCTGATAAGAATCCTGAAAAGGGAAATAATCAATCAATTGTTATTGAAATGCACATGAAATGTCCTCTCTTCATTCGGTTCCGTTCTGCTTGCTCCTTGGAAAGACTTCCACCTGAACAATTTTTGTTTTAATCCAACCTGCATGCAGTTTCATTCCGTCTCCACACTCTGATACCTCCTGCTGCATACCCAATGGCCGGATTTAATCAGGTTATACGGACTTGACTCTCGATGGCAATTATTACAGCTAAATGTATCACGGAAGCTCAACCGTTTCCATCAATTACCATGGAACTCTGTATATTCCAGAGGTGAGTGTCGACTTCCATCGGGGATTTCCGAGGATTACAGTACCACTTCCATCGAGAAAAGAAAGATGTATTTTTACTCTAAAACCAATCACCCACACTGTCGGTGATTTTCTCAATATGCTAAAATCCGAGGATCGCGGTATCGATCGTGCAGTCATTACGACAATCGATGGTACGAGAATAGGGGGCTGTAATACCATTGAATCCCTTCTGAATGATGACTTTAAGCTCATCGTCAACGACGCAACGTACGACGTTACACCGCCGTTACAGGACAACTATTCAATGGTATGTCTTTTACAACCGGACAATTTCTCGGATCCATTCAATTATTAATCTGTCCATTTGTAAAAACAGGAAACCATTGACAAATTATCTGACGTACAAATAGCGGTGTGTCAACTCTACGAGACCCTCCACTGCCAAGAGTACAACTCAATCCTAGAGAGGGAAACAGTCGCAGAGTTGGAGCAAGTGATGCTGGAACTGGAGCCTCTAGAAGCGGTGATTACTGCTAAGTAAAGCTGAAATAATAGCATTTAAATTTTCTAAATTTCCTATTCATTCTTCAGAAAAAGCTAGAGCTGGAGACAACTGCAGAGAGACGTGCTAATTTCCACGCTTTCGTTGGTCTAATGGCGATGGGTGTACAGGTGGGTATCCTAGCCCGATTGACGTGGTGGGAATATTCCTGGGATATTATGGAGCCGGTGACCTACTTTGTCACGTACGCAACTGGTATGGCGTGCTATGTCTACTTTATCATGACTAGACAGGTGAGTGGTTGATAAAAAAAATGTCTTCCCACTGGTTGACACTCTGGTAATCAGATCAACAGATTCTGTCGAATTTCAATAAAAACTCTCCATTTCCTCTCCTTCTGGGCCATTTATTATCTGATCTCATGCAGGAATTCATGCTGCCTGATGTTATGAATCGAAGGTATCTCATGGTATTCCACAAACGTGCCAAGGCCATCGGTTTAGATCTCACAATTTACAATCAACTGCGAGAGAGAGCCTACGAGCTGGAGACAACCCTCAAGATAATACGGGGACCACTCTGGAATCATAAACACAGGATTCAGCAGAAGATACGGGAGAGGGGAAGATCATCGAGCTCTAGTTCAAGCTCGAGCTCGGAATCGAGGTCACGATCACGATCGACTAGTCCAAGTTTACATTCTAGTGATAAGAATGACGAGAAAGTACACAACAAAACTGTTAAATCTTGAATTAAATCGTCATGAATGACGAATGCTCAATAGAGTAAATATATTAATAATACATCGAAAATGGAGGTTCTTCTTCGAAATGTCATTGACATTCAGTGTCAGTTATCTCATATCTGCAAGTGAATATTACTGTTGAATGTTTCTTTATCCAGTCATCATTATTGGGAGAGAGTTATAATGGGGCCATCACAGTTACACGATTATTTGTACAGACGTTAAAATAAATTGTCACTTGTGTGTTTTTTTTTTAAGGGAAGGGATACAGACGTGCCAACAGCGCTCGTGGCTTCTAGTCTACTCATGATATTGTCATTCTACCTCTGTAATTTCACAAGGTCTCACCATAAAAAAATCGTCAAGCCTCCAAAACATTCTTCCATCTCCATTTATTCATTGCTAAACTGAGGAATTATGTGGGGATTAAATTCTATTTTATACGCTTAAAAATTGCTCTCGCTTCCTAGAAATAGATTAAATCTACAACTACCTTTTAAGAGAACAATATGGCTGTTTCAACTTAGGAATTAAATGATTAATTTTTAATTCATTTTAACAGAGGGGTACATTTCCAAGAGGAAATGGGTCTTTGAAATTTCATAGAGAGTTAATCGTTGAAAGTAGCTCTTGTCACTCTTCAGAATTGTTTGGAGAATGAAAATTCTACTGCTTTATACCAAATTTATCTCACTTCTTATCCGTCCGCCATGAATGCTTGAAAATAAATACAAGAACTAGGAACAAATTGCCACACTTTAATATTCTACTAGTCAAACAATGACACATTGATAATTACCCCGAATTAAATTGTAATAAAACCAGTTGAAAATTTAATTGGAGAAAATCATACATTTGCACAATTCAAAACGATAGGCACAATTTTCAAATTTTTATAGAATCTCTTTCACGCCTACGCTAACACTTGCACTTACGTCTGAAGTACATACATTGATAGTTAATGCATAAAAATGCATCGCACAATCTTAGATAAGGGTTGAATAATTCGGATTCATCTCTTCCATTAATTAATATTTTCGAATGATATTTGGAATTCATCGTTTTATTCATAATGAGACCGTTGAAATATTTATTTATATACTGCATTTACCTCGTACTTGTGTGAATAGCCATACGAAATCATCGATCAAATACTTAATTTCGTGTTTCATTACGATGGAACTAGATCTATTTCGTGCCAATTCTTCATTGATTCTGTGCTGTTATTTCGAGCTTGTGAAAATGCCTAAACTCTTCAGTGAAGCAGAACAAATAGACTGCTTTATCGATTATTCTGAAAGTTGTTTATGTATATACACGTAGGATTACCATTAACCAATAAGAAAAAAGTGGAAATTGAATTTTAACAGTTGTCTGGAAGTTAATGCATCATGAATTTTCACCGATCAGATAATAATTTCAAAAGATCCTGAAAAAACTCAATGAGAGAGCGAGTTTTTCCCAGACCTTTCGATTTTCATCTTCTTCTTCTTGTATAAAATCACAAAAATCATGCCTGGAGATTGAGTGATCTGGTTTATGTATTCAACGCTCGATTGGAGTTTCTTGTAAATATAAAAATTCAGAATAAAGATACATGAATATTTATTCAATAATTTTTCCATTATGATTTACTTCATGATTTATTATGTTTTGCAAGCAGTGCCCAAAGAGTCTTGTAGAGATTGAATTCATTTTTTCCCAGCATTCTTGAAATACCTCACATACCAGTACAGGTCTATGCAGTGTTGGCTTATGATTCCCCTCACGCGTTATCAGTATCAACAAAGCCAAACACTTGGTACGAAGGACCAAAAATCGTCATAAAACCAGTGCAAATGCGTGTTGACGAGATAAAAATTGGAGTATCCCCGAAAAATAGTGAAAAAACTGGAGAAATTCCAAGAAATTCTCCCCGAAAAATTATCACTCAAATGAGAGGTTAGAAAGTGTTAAAAGAGCTGCGAAGTACTTAGAGCACTTAGAGTATTCAATTATAATCACAGACATTCCCAATGTCCTCGAAAATCGAGAGCCTGTGGAGACAAGCGATGAAGACATTCGCTGGACATCGAGGCAGTGGATTCAAACTCTGTCAGAAGAACTTGGAGAAACTCAGGCTCCTGATGAACGAGATAACATCTGATGACGTTAAGGTCGACAAAAAAGTGCTTGAATATGTGGAGAACCAGAGGGCCCCTATGTGTGTCATCGACATCTTCGAGAATCAAGATATTACGATAGCGATTTTTTTGCTGAAGCATGGTGTGACCTTGCCCATGCATGATCACCCTGGAATGCACGGATTGCTCAAGGTAAACGAATTTATTTTCAGGTGCAAATAATCGAAGGGAGAGACCGAGTATTAATTGAATTGAAAATTGCTAAATCACCAGGTGATAAATGGAACAGTAAAGATCGATAGCGTCACAACGCAGATTCCACAAGGACGAGTAATCCAGCTGGACGAGGAGCTGACAGCCTTGCGACATGCATCCCAGATCGTCCAGGCGAATGATCCTGCTTGTGTCCTCACCCCTCACGACCACAATTTCCACGAAATCAGCTGTTTGAAGGGGCCAGCAGCCTTCCTGGACATTCTCAGCCCCCCCTACGACGTTGACCTTGACGAGCGACAGAGGAGCATACGACCCTGCACATTCTTCCGGCAAATCGCTCAAGAGCAGACTAATGGGCCAGAAGGAGCACCAGTCAAAGTTAGACTTCTAGCTGTGGTCCAGCCTCCTCTATTCTACTCCACAAATCTTAAATATTTGGGCCCACCCTTGAGATGATTCTCTCCACTCAGGGCTCTATGTATTTTGTCATGATGAATTCCCAAAGGATTAATTAATAGGAATTTTTATATCTCTTACTGGAGATTTGCATTCAATCGCTCTTATTTATCCGATAGATTCGGTTGGCTAATATTTATTTCAGAGTATAGACGACTTTTTACCTTTGCTCGTCATCCTCCGACATATTTGAGATCAATTCGTCGTGTGAAAAACTAAACCCCGGGAATCACCGATTTATGACACAACAAAATAATCTCGTGACTGTAATTTCATCTATTTCAATAATCAGAAATTTACCTTCACTCTTCCAAGAATCTCGGAATAAATGAGAACACCGGGGGAGTGAGGAATTTCTTGTTCCTCAAAATAATTGAACGCATAAATTTTTCCCGCAGAATTCGGGTAAAAAATATTTTAATGCAATGGCATTAATCACTCGTTTTGTCCTTTATTTCAAGTAAAAAGCCACTCGTGCTGAAATTTTAAAACTTCTAATCCATAACTAGTCCAGTTAGGCAGCAGATATCGCGCAAAAATCTCCAGACACTTCGGGTTTTCAGGAAGAAATTGTCGAACTACTTCTGGAAAAATCCCACGTAATTATAAACGCTCTATTTTTATAAACTAGACATTGTTCTAGGGAATTACCTGTTAATGGAGGCTTGTGCGAGTGTACAGAACTCGGAATACTAATCAAAATCTTCTTATCTGGAATTTTAACTCCTTCATTATGAATTTTAATTCCAAAGATAATTAATTCATAAGGCTGCTTCACTGATTGATAACGAAAATTGCAGATTGGGTGCCCTGACCGCGTAACCTAAACAAATAATACATTTTTTCCAACCTTTTAAATAATTTTCAATGCATAATTAATTGTTTTAACTCGATGGCAATATTTCAAGTGATAATTCCATTACGATAATTCCTTGAGTAATCGTTGGAAAAATATCTATTGAATTAAATCTTTATGAGTAATCAAATTTTTATTAATGTCAATTGAATTCATTGATAAAAAAAAATGATATACGAATTGAAAGTATTGTACCTTAATCCAATACCAAGTGGCAACAGGTTTAATTCCCCAATTCGGAAAAATCTTCTCAATAACATCCGAATAATGACTCTGAGCATTACTGCACCAAACACCAACAACTCCATTTGTTTTTAACAATTTGTCCATAGGGATCTTCAGTAGCTCATCATTGTGCATCATTTTGTACCTAAAAAAATAGTCTCAACAAAATTGAAATGCAGTTCACTCTAGAATCAATTGAATAATTGCAAATAAAACCGAGAGACAAATAATTGTGATAAAAATCAATGAAATCTAATCTTGGACACAAGAATGTAAAAAATAAAATAATTGTGTAAGAAAAAAAGAAGAAAATGGATTTACCCCGATTCAGTGGACCTTTCTCTCTTTCTCCTGACGAACTTATTCCACCATGGAGGATCCATTAAAACAAAATCAAATTCTTTCCCCTCTAATTTATCCTCAATATTTCCCACGTCATGAGAATAGAACTCGCAATTCCCAGGAAATACGTATTCCATCCTCTTGAAATTCACCACAACAGGTTCATCCCTTAAATTCGCTCCAAAAAATTCTTCAAACTTCTGAGCACTCTTTTTAAAAAAATTCCCCGAAGCCCCTCTCGCCTCTTTATTATTATCTCCTACCCCAATTCCTGTACGTAAAAAAAAATCATCCCTCAGATTTCCCCTCATTATTTCCTCAAAACTCTCTTTAACAAATTTTATTTCTTTAAAAATCGAAGAATTAATTCCCAATTTTCTCTTTCTCTTTTGCTTATTCTTATCATTATTGTCAGTATCAACTACTCCATCAATGGCCTTGACAAATTGATTATCCCTGAGGAATTGGCAATTAATTTCAAACAATTTATCATAGAAATGGAATTTAAACTCCTGATTTTTGTTTTTGATATCTTTATAAATTGTTTTTATATAATTCAAGTGAGATATTATCCATCCCGATTCTGCCGCCAATAACACACTCATTCTTAATCTTCTTCTACTGATTAAACAATTAAAATCGACGATAAAAAATGCATTTCAAGTCTTTGTTTATTTCTCATTGTGCAATTACAATTTCGAACACTCGAAATTTAAGTTAATACATCCACCCAATAAACAATTTGCCCACTCAATTGCCAATTAACTTATTAATTAACATTTAAAACACTTTTAAACTCTTTAATTATTAATTCCTTGTCACCACTGTTCGTTAATTAATTATTTCATGTAATTATGTTTATTTTTCACATGAAGAAAAATGCGAAAAACGTCAACAATCGCGTGGGATGTAAAAATGGTTGTCAGAATTTTCATGTGACGACAAATTTTCCACCAATCAGAGGTGATTTATTCCCTCCATAAAGAAGCATCGCCATAACCTCGTTCTCAAAAAAATGTCAGTTTCTAGGCGATCGGAGAATTAATTGCACTTTATTGTTGTTTAATTTGTCGAATTGGTGAGATGCCAGCTGTGACGACTGGACCTCCCCAGAGGAGCGAGCAGATGTGGCAGGCATTGAAACGACACATCATCAGGGAAAGACAGAGGAAAAAACAAGGTGATGCCATCAATCTGTTGGAGTCCTTAAAAAAAAATAAATTAAATCTGGATATCCGCAGAATCAAAAACCTTGCCTTCATACTTTCTTTCAAAAATTTTCTACCCAGAGATTTTTGAAAATTACATCTTCAGAATTCAATATATGGAAGGTCAAAAATTGACTTCCAGAAAACAATCGAGATTTACGATTTTATTTAAACATTCTTTTGGGGGTTTTTGAATAATTATTTGTACTGTTCTAACAGGATTTATTTAATTTGGATTTGTCCCTAGTGTAAGATGAGATTGTTGCTGATTTTTTGAGTGATATTTTGTTTTAGAACAAGAAGCCGATGCCGAAGAGGAGAGACAGAGGAAAGAGAGGGAAAGACAGCAGAAGATGGACGTGATGACCCTGGGAGAGACTAGAGAGCAAATTTCAGTGTTGGAAGCTGAATTGTCACAGTTAAAAGACGAGAAGCATCAGTTATTCTTACAACTTAAGAAAGTGTTGAATGAGGATGATAATCGTAGAAGACAGCTCACTAAAGAGGCTAGGTAATTATCCCATTCCACCAAATTGCTGTTGTATTTTTAATCGTAATTTATCCAAGGCTTTTCATTCTGCAATGGAATCTTCTCATTTTATTTTTCCCAATTCTTGTGTTCCAATCATTGCGTACAATTTAAAAGTCAATAGTGAATCAATAGAGAGAACAACGAATGATGTGTCGAGTTTAAAATTGAGTTGAAAAACATTTCTCACGCTGAGTGGTGAATTCCTTACTTTAAATCGGTCAGTGTTCAAAACAAAGGAGCAAATCCTCGACAAGGTCACGCCAGTGTTTACGACATCTCGGAAATTCTATTCAAAGAAATTAAAGAATATATAATAATATAATATAAATACCGAATAACGCGAAGGAATCAGACACGTGATACAGAAAATTCCAATAAAATAAAATCATTAATTTAAGATTCAATTTCATTATTGATTAATTATTTATACTGAATAATCTTTGATAATAAAACCGTTATTCTTTTTCAGTGTCTGTTCAGAGGTTTTGACCAGCGTCAGCAATTATCCACCTGCTGGTACAAATGTTGTCCATCCCCAGATGTTCCTTCCAGTCCCAATAGGAAGTCCATTGTATAAAATTGCTGCTGCAACTCCTACACACACCCTTTTGCCAAGTGTCAATGTAAGAATTCCGTTTTTCATTAATTTCCAGTTATTCCATGAGAATCTCAGCTGGTAATGTGTTGACAGAAAAATCTTAAAGGAACTTTTTCTGGAGAATTTTATGCTCTACGAAAAAGTTATCGGGCATTTTTGTCTACAGTCCATACTGGGGAAGATATTCACAGATTAGTCATTGTAATAATTTTTTTGTCGTAGGGACCTTTGAAGAGGGGCCACAGCCCTTCCCCACCTCCCACAGCATCTCCTTATCACACTGTCTATGGGTACAAACCTTCCCCAACAATGCCGAGTTATAATCCACCTCAAACGAGTACGTACTATTCATTAATAATTATTTTACATTTGTCATTAAGTTCAAGATTCACCTTTTATTTTTCCCTCATAGTTTAAATATCTCGGTAGTGAACAATTTTGCAAAAAAATGTTGCAGGATTTTTTCGTATTTAAATTATGCTGTAATGAAATATAAAAACATTGAAAAATGAGTTATTTCTAAAAAAAAAAAAAATAGTATTTGTTCGTAAATTTCCATTATCGAAATAATTTCATGATTAATAAAAAAACGTGTGATTTTAATTTTACACTAAGCCGAATCAATTGCCATTTAATGATTGATTATTAATCACTAGGTTGACACGCACTAATATTATTATAATAAAATACATGAATAGGGGAACTGAGGGGAGATGGTTGTATTTTTCCAGAATCAGAGGAGGCTGCCAGGAGAACTGGCGACTCTCGCGCCGTCCTCTGGAATAGTGAGTTTATAATTAAGAATTCCTCGGAAATGAATTTTTCGAAACATTTCATTAATCCATCAAACCTCTAATAATCTTAAATCCATCATTAATCGATTAATAGCAAAACCACTACCTCTCATAATGGACAAAATGCACTCGCCATCGTCTCACATATTCTCATCAAATTAATTCAATAACTTTTCCACGAAAATCTCTTCAACTAAAAGAAATATCAGAATTTGTTAGAAACATCTTTTGTAGAGCATGCCAAGCCCTCCAAAACATGTTGATACGAAAATTCAGATATCTTGTTTGGATTTCGAGATATTCACTGATCGAGTAGAATCGACTTTTTTACCTAAATTTATTCATCTTATCTCCATTTTTTTTATCATCATTTCATTTCATTTTTTTGTTTTCTTTTTCATTCGATTCGATTGGATTGAATTCGTTACTTTGATTTTATTTTGAGTTGTTATGATTTTTCGTTTCGTTTCTCTTTTTTTTCCAGAAAATAATCAATATCCACCCTCGACTTTTTATCCAACACCAGGTGGACAGAGTGTTTACAGTTATTCTGCACCAACGTCACAACCTGCTCGTGATAATGATCCAGGAAAACCAGTTTATCTCTCAGGAAACAGGGCAACATTGTCCACTCACCAAGCAGGTAATTATCAATAACATTTAATCAATCCATTTCAATCAAATGAAAGAAAAAAAAAACATTATTCCAATTCAATAATTGAGAATATTCAATAATTCAATAATTGATAATAATAATAAGAAATATTTATGAATGGCCCAAGAAATTGGTTCTATTGAGTGAAAATAAATTAATATCTTTGATGTTTCATCATTTTGATCCTCAGCTTACGTCACAAGTCTTCATTCCCTGGACCACAAGACGGCATACTCCGAAGATAAATTTTACTTGCGACCTGGGAGTCATGTGACTGTTCATGGAGGTGCTATTCCCATTCAACAGCCACCCCAGGGTGCAAAACTTGGAAGTATAACGTCAGGATATCCAGTGAGGGCCCCACAGCCAATACCTGGACCCTATCCACCACCTCCTCCTGGTGCTTTTGTCAGTGCACAGCCTGGAAACATTCCTGCACGTCTGATGTATTCGCAGCCAGGTACCAGATACATACGAGAATCATAAATCCACTCTGCAGAATTTTTTATTCAAAACGACTGGCTGGAGCCATTATACGTTTATTAACACTTCACCACTTTCATTTAATTCGATTCTTTCGCAAATTTATCGTGAATATTTTTGTTTGTATTAACACATTTTTTTTATTCTGTATATTTTGTAGATATCGTTAATTATCGCAAAATTAACGAAAAAGATTGAGACTCGGTTGTAGAATCTTTCGAATCAATTAATTTGTCGTATTTTTTCCGTCTGGAATATTTGAAAATTACGTATTGTAAAAAAAGGAAATGAAATAGCAGTCTTAGCTAATTTTGAAAGCTAAATCCAATTAGGGAAAATCGTAAATTAATAATTTACTGAAGTAAATGACTGTCAGATTGCAATTTGTCAGGCAACAAATGGCTATGACATTGTCATTAGCCCCAGTAAAAAATTTCTTTACAATTTCTTTTCAAAATCTGAATTTTTTAATAATTTTTCTTTTCTTAAAAGGCAGTCTTTTATATCTGAGATAAGAATTTCGAGAGAAATTTCGATTACATTCGATAGATACGACCGAGTTCGTAACACGTTTTTCGATCATCTGTATTTTTTGTAGATATCATCAATTACGGGAGTGTAATTGAGAAAAATGAATTATTTAGTATTGACCGGGGAAAATAAATTCAATACATCTGAGTAAAGAAGTGGTGAAACGAGTTGAGTAAACTCGATTGTTCTGCAGAATTAAACATTGAAATAGCCTTTGCTGAAATCATTTTCGTTAACTAATTTTTTATCATTATCAATCACAAAATTATGATTCAATACAAAATGTAATTCCTTGAAAATTGACTGTATTCTTCCCACAGACAATTTTTTGTACCAATTTTCTCCAATCTGTATATTTTGTAGATATTGACTATCGCAAAATAATTGTAACAAATTAATAAATTACTAGCAAAGGAAAATAAGTGTAATAATGAAATGAAATAATCATCAATCCACTCCACCACTTCCCTCGGTTGATTTTCAATTTCTTAGAATCTTTATTAATTGATTAATGAACTTTTTTCATTATAAAACAACATTATTATCGTCAATGTGTCTATATAAAACGAAAAATAAATCCCAAACTGTCTTCCACAGTTCTTCTAAATTAAATATAACAAAAACTGTTAATGATATATAAAAAAAAATTGAAAGAAAAACCTCCAAAAACTTCGCCCATCTCTCCCTTTCTCTACAATCATGGGAATCCTCAGAAAAATGATGAAAAATAATAGAATAATCTTGAAAAAGAATTCCAAAACTCAAAAATGAAACCTCCTCTTAAATGAACTCACAATAATCTCCCTCTTCAAAGCAAATTCTCCTTAAGCTCCTCCTCCTTCATCAAATGATAAGGCGAGGAAATGTGACTCCTGAGATGAAGAATGCCCGATATTTTCTGTCTACAAAGTTTGCAATCGATCTCCTCATAAGGTACTTCCTTCACCGACATTGAAGCCTTCTTCTTCAGCTCCTCAAGGTGATTCAACATGAACTCTTTGGCATCATCAGGCTCCCGGAGATCGAGAGCACGATGCAGTTTATAAATTAGATTCTCAAATTTATTGACATTCAGAGGATCAAGGAAGTCAGCCTCCTGGTACCTTCCCCACCGGCCATGCCTCAAATCGACTTCAGGAATAATGGGCTCCCTCTTCTTACTCATGAGAGCGAAGAGACTTTCCTTGACCTTCACCTGGGTCTTGACGATATCACTGAGCATTTGATCCTCATCGGAGTCATCCTCAGACTTCACGAATATTCCCATGTTCATCCAGTACCTCAATTTATTAATATTCTGCAGATCGTCGAGATTAATATCAACATTGAAGCTGAGATTCATGTCGTGCTCTGGAAAAAGACTCCTCTTGGTCTTCTCATCGTACCCAAGTCCACACAGTGCTCCAACATTTCTCGTCTTCATACAATTCGCCCTCAACTCGATTTTAGGAGCAAAAATTAAAGCTAGAAGATCAGTCAGCCCTGGAATATTAGGCATCAGCGTTGTATTCCTGAGAGTTAAATTCCCAGAGTCACACCCCTGACTGACAGATCCAGCAACGACAAGTCTTGTTTGAGGATCATTGAGAGTTGGATCCAGCAGAACACAATTAACTGAAATTGGATCAATGGTGATACCCAGACCAACTCCAGCATTAATTAAATTCGAGAGTTTTATTTCCAGAGGTGAGTTGGGACCAGTCAGAGTAGCGTATGATGTGCAGTCCTCTTCTTCAGGGGGATCCACGTAAGAATCTGCTAGGTAAAGCTGATTGTGCTGTAGATCCGTGTGAGTTGCTTTCTCCTCATTCGACAATCTGTTGACATCAACTCTGATAGTGTGATTGGCCTTGGAGAGATAATCCTCTTCTCTGGGCTCAGCGTATCCCTCACTAACCAGCAGATTATTGACATTAATCTTCATTCCCTTATCATCAGTCACATGAAGATCAATGCACACCACCGAATTGACAACAGAGTAGACCTCTCCATACAAAGTCTTGCCTTTTCCTGTAATCAATTCCTCAAAAAATCTCTTGGATCCCTCCGACCACTGACCAGTGAGTGTATTGAGAATGGCAGGCTTCACCTGACTGAGACAACACTGATAAGCAGCTGCTGGAATTTTCTCCAGTGGTGAATCCCCAGGAACACATCGAAGATCACAAATACTGACTTTAGAGACAGCCCCTGAATCAATGAAGAATACCTGAGCGCTGTACTCGTGCCTGGAGACCAGAAAAACATTCTGGACAACAGCACGATCGTATTTCACCTTTTGCTCATCCCCAGATGTCTCCTTGGGTGCAAGAACGACAGCCCCAACCTTTGGTTTTCCCTCGAATGTCACAAGACCCTTGGACTCCATCAGAGTAATCACTCTCTTGATCTCCAACAGATTATCTCTAGTCTCTGTGTCCTTGTTGCTGACCCAGAAGTACCCAGGATCAATGATCCTCTGGATGTCCATAGGAATGAACGTGAGATCAAGATCAGGGAGTCTAGGTCTGAGGTAGAAACCAGTACCCTGTGGATTTCTCCTGGGACGTGGAATGTAAAGATTCACTGGGTCTTTCTCAAGACCAAACTCCTCTGCCAATTCATTAGCTGCATCCTCTGGCATGATGGGAATTCTGATTGGTGGATTAACTCGTCCCAATTTTATTGCCAAATAAACAGAAACTGGAATCTCACCCTGAAACTCTGGCCCATCCCTCGCGTCCTTCACTTCTGTCTTATTGAATTGAATATAAACTCGGTTGGAGTGATCAAATTTAACAGCTATTCTAGACGAATCAGCATTGAGAACCAACTTGAATATCTCTTGAAAGCGTTTAGCGTAGAGAAGTCCTGGTTGTTTTATTGGCCAACCGGTGAGATAAACAGTCTTGGCAGGATCCAGTCCACCGAGTGCCTTGACACTGGATCGCTCGTCAGATCTGGGATTTGCGAGATAAAAATGGGGATAAAAAGCCCCAGCAATGGCAATCTTCAGTACAAATTGCATCTCAGTTGCATTGAGCTGGACTCTTCCTGGCCCCCTTGTCTCCCTGATTCCCATGTTCTCCAGTCTCTTTGTGATCTCGACAACTGTTGCCTCAACCTCTCTCATCACTCTGACCTGCAGAAAACTCTTTTTAGCCCACGATACCTCAGATCCCTTGTCCCTGCTCCTGGAGTTTGTCCCTTTGAAGTTCATCCAGCTCCTGAAGGCATTCAGAAAGGCTATTCCATCGCTGCTCGTATTGCATGCCCAGAGTAATTTAGCTTTGTACGCGTGGAGCTTCTCCTTGAAGGGATGACTGAACATATTCTTCACAGACATGCTAGCACCAATGATTATTGTCTCCCTGAGAACACTGAAGACATGTCCCAGGACAATTAATTTGGAGATTCTGATGTCCAGGGGCATTTGTCCCATTACCCTCCCCATGTCTGTAATTTCTCCATCGTGTGGATCGTCCCCGGAGTCCAAAAGTGCTCCAGTCTCTTTCAAATTCAAAACGGTGCTGGTAATATTTGTTAAATCTGGTGGATCCAGGGAGAGAGCAAGCAGAGCCTTTGGCTTATCCATATTCAGCATTTTAGCCCTCAGGAAGATGTTCTCCAGTGGTGCCCTGGCGATCTCTGGAGGATTCTCGTCAGGGAGTATCTGCTGATAAAAAAGCTTGGGAACTAAACGATAGACTCGACCATCCATAACTCTTCCAGTTCTTCCAGCTCTCTGCTGACAATTGGCCTTCGATGCCCACGTCAACTCCAAACTGTGGAAATTCGTTGTTGTGTCCTTCACCAGCTGTTTAGTCAGACAGAAATCTATCACGTACTTGACATTTGGAACTGTTAAACTGCTCTCAGCAATGTTCGTCGAAAGAATAATTCTTCGATAACCAGGTGGTGGTGCCTCAAAAATTCTCGATTGCTCCTCATGGGTGATGGAAGAGTGCAGGACAACGACATCCCATTTATCCGACTCCTTGGCTGGTGAAGTCAGGATATTGAACAGCTCTTCTATCTCGTGAATACCAGGTAAAAAAACTAGAGTTGTGGGACGATCACCAGCTTTTGAGCTGCCAAAACGATCGAGCTCCTGATCAATTCTGTCCATCACTTGCATAACTCTAGCAGCGAACTCCAGCATTGCTTTTGATGCCTCAGGCTCGTGTGCCTTCACCACTGGAATAGTCCCCATCCCCTGGATATCATCCAGAAAAAATTCACGTACGAGAAATAAATTTCTTTTCGTCACGTCGATAATTGGCGCCTGAACCTTCTTGTTACCAGCGTAAAACGTGAAGTACCTGGAGAATTTCTCGACATTGAATGTTGCAGACATGAGGACAACTCTGACACCACGTGAATTTGATCTAAGAAATTTTCGAACGATCAGCAGGAGAAAGTCCATGTCCTGATCCCTCTCGTGGATTTCGTCGATGATAACGTGGGTGAAATCATTCATGTGCTTCTCGTGAACGAGTCTCTGGAGGAGAACTCCAGTGGTGCAGTAAGTGAGACGCGTGTCCTCGTTTGTATTCTGAACGAGACCAATTTTAAAGCCAACGAGAGAGCCACATGGCCATTCACGCTCTTCACTGACTCTTTTAGCAATACTCATTGCTGCTATTCTTCTTGGTTGAGTTACAACGATGTTGCAGTGACGATTATTCTTGTAACAACTCTCCAAGATAAACTGGGGCACTTGCGTCGTTTTACCACAGCCTGTGGGTCCCTGGATTATCGTCACTGGATTCGTCTCAATCATTGAGACAATTTTCTCCTGAAATGCTCCAATCGGCAGATGATTCCTGGGGGTGTACGTCAGGTCGTACGTGTTGTAGATCTTCTCCTGGTTTGGCTCCAGGGCTATGTCACTTGGGGCACATGTGGCGTACGAAACTTGATCGAAATTCTCACCGTCTGGACCCAGAATTCCCCGGTAGAGAGACGACGACTAGAGAAAAATTGGGAATCAATTACTACCTTTGGAGATTTTTTATTACAAGATTCATTAATTAAATTTTGTGCTGAAATGATAAATCAGGTAAATTCACTCGAGTTCATCGGGAATATCTTTGGAATTGAGGGAAGCAACGAATTTTTCAATGGAATGTTTTTGTAGACGGAATTGAGAGCTGGAAATAATTGGTTATAAAAAATTAATTGTCTATTTTAGAGTCGGAGATATTGAGAGGAATCTCACCTCGCGCAGGAGTTCATCCTCTTTTTCCAGGTATTCATCAGCATAATCAGTGCCCACGCATGTTGATACTGTGGTGGTCTCAGAGGGACAATAAATTGAAGAGACATCAGTCGCCAATTTGTACGTCCTTCTTGCTGGCTTGTGCAAAATTGTTGTCTTTGCCGGAGTTTTTCCGTAAAAAAATGCCATGGGGTCGTTCATGATGAGATCTGAAAACAGAAATAGACTCTGCAAATTAATTGCCGTTTTGTTTATTATAAGAAGATAAGAAAAAAGATTAGACATCACGAAAAATCATTTGTGTCTAAATGATTGACTCGATTTATTCTGTTCTTCAATGCATTTCCGGAAAATTGACGTTCGAATTTCAATGGCGAGGAACAAAGAACAAAGGAAATTCCTGGATCTCGTGGTCACGCCGACAATTTCCGGATTGCGATGAATTCCCGCTAGAAATTCCTCAGAATTCCCACGAAAAATTGAAGAAAAATCCATACCATCCCAAAAAGAATAGGAAAAACACTGAAAACTGGGGAATTAAAAATTCCAAAGGGCAAACAGTCAGAGAATTCTCACAATGGCGGAAGAACAAAGGAAATTCCCAGCTCTCGTGTTCTCCCTCGAAATCTTCTCATTCCCTTCCATCTTCTCCCGAAAAAACATAAAAAATCTGAAAAATAATTACGAAAAAGCCAGCAATTTCACTCCTTCAACCCTCAGCCAAAAAAAATAATAAAAATTATTTTAAAAATCTCTCCCCCATGGAAAAAAAAATCCACTGAAAATCCAAAAGAATAAATATCCCCACCTGTCTTCCTCCCTCTCCCTCACAACCGAAAAGTCAACAGTCAAAACTCAAAAGATGTTCAATTTAAAAAATTCTCGTAATTTTCTCTTCACCACTCGCCAAACGGAAATCGAATGAAACAAAATACCGGTAAGTGCTGACAATCAGTTGAAGGTCACAAATTTAAAAGATAAACAACGAGTCACGTGACCACTCAAAGAGCATTGACTAAAGTAGAGGCTCAGATCTGGGGACTTGAGTGACCCCAGGGGCATCGTAGTACTGCACCCCGAGAGAGAGAGGGCGCCAACGTAGGAAACAGGAACTAACTCCTCGACAAGACTTAAACGCTTGGATAGTTTCCTTTCTATTAGCTACAGTTGTTATGTCACAGCTTTAGCGTGCAGACGTATATATATTCACGATAATTATTCAACATTGAAAACGTTATCTTTTGTACTTTCGGAGTTAGTCGATAAATAAATATTTAAATAGTTATAACCACATCTCGTGGAATTTTAATGGAAAAAATTATTCAATGTATTGAATATATACCACTAATGAATTTATATTTTTAATTCAGCGCGTTGTCCTAGTGGTAACGTG